ATACCTATACACTATATTGTTATTTTACATATAGGTACCTCTAAACTAGATTGTTATTTTGTATAAAGGAACCCATAAACTGGATTGTTATTTTGCATACAGGTACCCCTAAACTGGATTGTTATTCAGTACGTATGTACCTCTAAACTAGATTGTTATTTAGTATATAGGTACCTCTAAACTAGATTTTTATTTTGTACGTATGTACCTCTAAACTCGATTGTTATTTTGTACGTATGTACCTCTAAACTAGATTGTTATTTTGTACCTATGTACCTCTAAGCTATAAAACTAGATTGTTATTTTGTACCTATGTACCTCTAAACTAGATAGTTATTTTGTACATATGTACCTCTAAACTAGATTGTTATTTTGTACGTATGTACCTCTAAACTAGATTGTTATTTAGTATATAGGTACCTCTAAACTAGATTTTTATTTTGTACGTATGTACCCCAAACTCGATTGTTATTTAGTTCGTATGTACCTCTAAACTAGATTGTTATTTTGTACCTATGTACCTCTAAGCTATAAAACTAGATTGTTATTTTGTACCTATGTACCTCTAAACTAGATAGTTATTTTGTACATATGTACCTCTAAACTAGATTGTTATTTTGTCCGCATGTACCTCTAAACTAGATTGTTATTTAGTACGTATGTACCTCTAAACTAGATTGCTATTTTGTACCCCCGTACCTCTATACTAGATTGTTATTTTGTACCTATGTACCTCTAAGCTATAAAACTAGATTGTTATTTTGTACCTATGTACCTCTAAACTAGATAGTTATTTTGTACATATGTACCCCTAAACAAGATTTTTTTTTGTAGGTATGTACCTCTAAACAAGATTGTTATTTAGTATATAGGTACCTCTAAACTAGATTTTTATTTTGTACGTATGTACCTCTAAACTCGATTGTTATTTGGTTCGTATGTACCTCTAAACTAGATTGTGATTTAGTTCGTATGTACCAGTAAACTAGATTGTTATTTAGTACGTATGTACTTCTAAACTAGATTGTTATTTTGTACGTGTGTGCCTCTAAACTAGATTGTTATTAAGTTCGTTTGTACCTCTAAACTAGATTGTTATTCAGTACGTATGTACCTCTAAACTGGATTGTTATTTTGTACGTATGTGCCTCTAAACTGGATTGTTATTTTTGTATCTAGGTACATATAAACTGGATTGTTATTTTGTATATAGGTACCTATAAACTGGATTGTTATCTTGTATCTAAATACCTATAAACTATATTGTTATTTTACATATAGGTACCTCTAAACTAGATTGTTATTTTGTACGTATGAACCTCTAAACTAGATTGTTATTTTGTACCTATGTACCTCTAAACTAGATTGTTATTCAGTACGTATGTACCTCTAAACTAGATTTGTTATTTTGTATGTATATGAATACTTGATTGTTGGCTAACCATACATTTTCCTCGCTACTTTGGTCCTGTGCACGTGGAAAGTAAATATGCACTGCGTGCAGTGACGTAAGATTTAGTCCAAAAGTAGGCCTAGGTAAACAAATAAATATCAGCTGTCACTGGCATCAACAGGATTGTTTGTGACGCTCGAGTGGCACACTGACCTACATTCCGCGTGTTCCCTGTCGTCTGTAGCTATATCAGCTATAGTCGGTCGTAAGTCGGTGTGGCAATAAAACGGAATGGTCTTGTTTGTCGTGTTTGCTCATTTTACACGCGTTCCTGGTCAGGTTCTGCGCGAAAAAGATTGAAAAGTTTGAGAAAAAATATTTCCCCGCACTAGTCGCCGAAGTTACTGCTGACCAGCCGACAGTTATATCTCGCCATAGTCAACAATACAAGACCTTAATCTTAGGCTTCCAAGATGTCACTTTCTATACACAGAACTCGCTGCTCTGGTTAACACAGAATTGTGCTGTATAAATAATCCACGTTTTATTATATCCATAAGCTTTAAGTACTTGTAAAAGGACATGCGTCATTCTTTATCAAGAAATCTTTCGATATACCTCAAATACTGTACATCCGTCGGTTACACACTTAAGTTTCTGGCTTTCCAAGACAACTTACAGGCACGACTTTTTTTACTTTGTTTTATCTGAAGCGGTATTGTATAGCTCATGTTTGCTACTTTCTTTTACAATCACGGTAAAATAACAAAAAATACTCGTATCATTAGGTTTCACGTAATTGACTTGAAGGTGTATAAGTATGCAGCTGACGGCTCATTGCACCCGATTACACCATAGAGAATGGCGTCTTGTCAACAATAAATGTATGAAGTGCCAAATAAATAGAATAGCAATCTCGTACAGGTATCAACAATATGCACATGAATATTTCCTGTTTAGTATAATTACCTGTCCATATTTCGTTAAGCAAATACTCATACTACGTCCATACTAAAAGCTCAACACGCTACCCCGTTTTTATATTGTAAACTGATACCTTAACTGCATATTGTATACCATTGCATACCAGGAGAGATCTCTGGCTAGAATACCACTGTATACCAGATGTTTCTGGCAAGAATACCACTGCATACCAGGAGAGCTATCTGGCTAGAATACCAATACATACCAGCAGAGATCTCTGGCTAGAATACCACTATATACCAGCAGAGATCTCTCGCTAGAATACCACTGTATACCAGAAGAGATTTCCAACATTCTACATACCAAAGGCTACATATGTGATACTCTTATGTTCCAGTAAATATCTTAAGACACATATTTTATATCAGTATATATTTGCTATATATTCTGACCCAATAGACATCTTTGTTACATATTCTGTACCAGTAGATATTTTTGCTACATATTCTGTACCAGTAGATATATAAATCGTAAGGACTTGACTTTAAGTTTGGAATAGCTTTTAAATAATGGCAGCCGTGGCGGCCATATTAGATATCGGATCGACCGGAAAAATAACAACACTTTGTCAGGACCATGAGTCGATCATTCCTACAAAGTTTCAGTTCAATCGGCCCAGCAGAACTTGACTTTTAAGTTTGAAAAAAAAAAAAAAAAATGGCGGGCGTGGCGGCCATATTGGATTTCTGATCGACCCGAAAAATAATAACAATTGGTCATTGAGATGTCAGTAACCTTCCCATGAAATATTAATGAAATCCCTTTGCCAGTATTTAAGATTAAGATGAAAATGTAAAATGTTGACGGACGACGCTCAGGTGACCTAAAAATCTACCCTTTTTTTTCATCAGTAAATATCTGTAAAAGCATCAATACTAATCTATAACAGTAGGTGCCTTCCCTTCACCAATAAATATCACCTACAATGTATTCTGTACCAGTAAGTACCTACACTGTACCAATAAATATCACCTACAATGTATTCTATAGCAGTAAGTACCTACACTATACCAATAATTATCATCTACAATGTATTCTATAACAGTAAGTACCTACACTATACCAATAAAAATCACCTACAATGTATTCTGTACAAGCAAGTACCTACACTATACCAATAAATATCACCTACAATGTATTCTGTACCAGTAAGTACCTACACTATACCAATAAATATCACCTACAATGTATTCTGTACCAGTAAGTACCTACACTATACCAATAAATATCACCTACAATGTATTCTGTACCAGTAAGTACCTACACTATACCAATAAATATCACCTACAATGTATTCTGTACCAGTAAGTACCTACACTATACCAATAAATATCACCTACAATGTATTCTGTACCAGTAAGTACCTACACTATACCAATAAATATCACCTACAATGTATTCTGTACCAGTAAGTACCTACACTATACCAATAAATATCACCTACAATGTATTCTGTACCAGTAAGTACCTACACTATACCAATAAATATCACCTACAATGTATTCTGTACCAGTAAGTACCTACACTATACCAATAAATATCACCTACAATGTATTCTGTACCAGTAAGTACCTACACTATACCAATAAATATCACCTACAATGTATTCTGTACCAGTAAGTACCTACACTATACCAATAAATATCACCTACAATGTATTCTGTACCAGTAAGTACCTACACTATACCAATAAATATCACCTACAATGTATTCTGTACCAGTAAGTACCTACACTATACCAATAAATATCACCTACAATGTATTCTGTACCAGTAAGTACCTACACTATACCAATAAATATCACCTACAATGTATTCTGTACCAGTAAGTACCTACACTATACCAATAAATATCACCTACAATGTATTCTGTACCAGTAAGTACCTACACTATACCAATAAATATCACCTACAATGTATTCTGTACCAGTAAGTACCTACACTATACCAATAAATATCACCTACAATGTATTCTGTACCAGTAAGTACCTACACTATACCAATAAATATCACCTACAATGTATTCTGTACCAGTAAGTACCTACACTATACCAATAAATATCACCTACAATGTATTCTGTAACAGTAAGTACCTACACTATACCAATACATATCACCTACAATGTATTCTGTACCAGTAAGTACCTGCACTATACCAATAAATATCACCTACAATGTATTCTGTACCAGTAAGTACCTACACTATACCAATATACCAATAAATATCACCTACAATGTATTCTGTACCAGTAAGTACCTACACTATACCAATAAATATCACCTACAATGTATTCTGTAACAGTAAGTACCTACACTATACCAATACATATCACCTACAATGTATTCTGTACCAGTAAGTACCTACACTATACCAATAAATATCACCTACAATGTATCCTCTACCAGATCATGTTCGGAGGGAAAATAATGTGTAAGTAAACTGGGCATGGGTGTGGTACAAGTACGCTGGTGATCTCGGCAGTTTAGTGCGTCCATCGACATCTGTTGCATGCACCGTTCAATTCTTGTATCACTATTTAAATACAACATATGTAAATGAAGACATGTTAGTTCCTGAGAGATTTTAATTATATAATGACCAATAAAAATCTGGAGAACTTTGATTCTTGTTAATATTTTTTTTATTTACTCACAGAAATCATGTGGTAAGTATGTAACTGCCCTTCTCTGACAATGTCCTTCACATGTGAACAAGACAACAGAAAAAGTACATATGTACAACAATATCATATATTCATCATAAATTTGCTCTTAAGGTATTAGTATAATACAATTATCATTTCACTGTACACATATTACAAGGAGCTGCAGACTTGTCAACATTTTTATCAACAAAATATCAACTTTGTCTAGTATTAATAAGTTTAGAATGTGTATATACAAAATTTGTACAAATTGAGACTAAGTAACATGTAATTAGTTCTCTCCAGATATGAGAAGATGAGAAAACTTTGGGCAAAATACACATTTGATCTAAAACAAGCAAAACTTGGTACAAAGTACAAAACATACAAACATACAGTATATAATATGGGCAAAATAGAATACAAAAAGGCAGTCAAGTCGGTAATAGTGTGTAAATGTCTGGAAGCAGTGATCTTACCAAATACTGATCAGTAGTAACATAAGTTTGTTGGGCTTGACATTAATCGGAGATGTAATTACATGATTATAACTTCAATTCCAACTGTTTCATGATCACAGTATAGTATCCAATTTTGATGATGTTTAAGGTAAATAGTCTTCAAAATGTAGATAATCAAACAAATAACAAAAGTGAATTGACATCATTTTCAATTGGTTATATTTGTCCACCTTAAAAATCTTAACTTGTGACTAGTTTATACTGTATTTCACTTCTAAGTTTCTGTAAAAAGGCTGTACAAAAGCAAAACATTAAATGTCAATTTTTTTCATATTTTTTTTGGGGGGAAAACAGCAGCACTATGAGTTTTACATAATGATGTAACACACAAGTGTTCATGTTGATGTGTGATGAACTGATTGTACACAATCTATGAGGTACAAACTCTAGGAGAAAACATGAAACGCTGTGATATGATGAGTATAAACCACAGCCGAGTGGAACTACATGCTGTATTCTATAAAGTTCACAATCATATACAATGTATGTGACAGCCTGATGTTTATACAGGAACAAATCTGCATACACAAGTCTTCAGTAAAATGTCGACAAAACTCACACAAAAAGACAATTTTCTTGTAAAATGAGTTGCTGTACTGATCATGAAGGAGTTCTTAATCAGAGCATGAGAGATGTGTTAAATGTGAAAGACATGATGACTAAGTGGGCAAGGGTCAGGTGCTAAACAAATCTAGGACCTTGACTTCCCCCAATGCACAGCAATGCAATGACACCCTTTGCACAGCTAGAATTTAGACCACACATGTGGCCTCATTCTAACAGAAAGGCATGGATAAATATACTACTTCCTAAACAAACTAGAACGCTGCTTAGGATGGGGCAAATATTGGTACACATCTATATCATGAAAAAGCAACAAATACTACTCTCCGCATTCAAACCACTCTCTCATCTGATCACAGTAACATATATATCACACATTTCCTCACACAGTACTAGATCATATCAATAATGACAAAATTGAAAATAAAACTTACCATACATAAATCTATAGAGGGTATTTCAGACTAAATTGTTAACGACACTTGGATAAACACACATATTTAGGTGGGAAAGTGCTAAAAGGTAGTCTTTCCACAAATTGTCAGATGGTAGTAGTCTTTTGGGTATACACTAAAGTGAGGTATCCAAGTAAGGTATTATAGCACTTTGTTTCCAATAATAACACATGTAAAACATACTAAAACAGGCCTGCAGGCCAACCACGGCTCAGCTAGTCCTCGCATCCCTCCACCTTATTGGCTCCCTCTAAGAATGGACGAATAACACAAGTCTATTTATTCCTCATCCGTTCTTCCCTCATTCAATCTCCAGAAGATAACAGAGCACCCATTGTTACTATCGCTGCGTTTCTATCTCCATTCCTTTGGGAGAATGTGCTACCTGCTGGGGAGATGTAGCATATGGAGATGAGCTGAATTTTTCTGTTGTTGAAAGTTTTGATAATGCAGCCAGTGCATCTGGGAAATTGGGTGGAGTAGCCGGAGTATTGGCAGGTGTACAGAGCTGTAACAGAGGAAGGTACATATAATCATACACAGCTGCCAGCTCTAGTTCTCAGCGAGTTGTATAAACAGCCAGAAAACATGTGTTGCATAATAAGAGGAATGAGCTACCTGGCTATGAATCAATAGTGTGGAGTTGTTTACTTTCTAAATAACCTACCTAGCGTGTTCATTCACTATATGATAGATAGAGAGAGTAAACAAGGGAGTTTAGGGCTGATCTCCAAATGCTGCGCATATACGGTATGCTTTCCAATATTATTTATATCTCACAAGAAAGTTTTGATACGTACATATATATATTTGACTGACATGTGCATAAATAGTGCTTCAATCACTTTGGTTATATATCTCTATACCGTAAATATTCCTGTATGTTATACTCCACAGAGACCAGAATAGCTTTAATGTGGAGGGGTTATACCAGTATGTATGTACACCTTCAACATAACAATATTCCATGCATTAGTTTCAGGTTTTAACAGCACAAAAAGTCATTTAATGCCAACCATGTATGAGCAGATGTAAATAAAAGATATTTAATGGTTTTCCATTAAATACCATATATACCTGGGTATGTTCAGGAATATGAAAGAATATCAATATTTTTCACACGTGAGAAGCTTGTGTGAAAATATCAGTATTTTCTGCCATAGTTTAATGATGAAGTGATACATGGTGTAGCATGTTCATTATCAGGAGCTCGAGGTTGTTTGTGTTGAAACCACCCTTACGCAGTCACAAAATTGAAGCAAAAAAAAAAAATACATGGACCACTGTACAAACATTTGACAAAGCATTTCCCCCCCTCTGTACATGTATAAACTACATTATATTAATGTCTGCTTGGGATCTAAACGTTTAAATACAACACAGTCTGGGGCTAATCCCAGATTTTACTGTCACAATCGGGTTGAGTTTGCTATGATCAAAATGTTCCTTGTGAAGAGATCTGATCAGAGTTCCTAATTTTTTAACAAGTATTAAACCTTTTATTATCATGCCCCACCCCTCGGGCTTCCCCTTAATTATTTTCTAGGAGCTTGAGATGCAACTAAGGTAAAAAAAGTTCCAGATTACAATGCATGTTTAACTAACTATACACAGGTAATATGTCCAATATGAAGGCTAACACTAACACTGGGTGAACTGGCTTTTTACCAGTGCAATATATTTCCTTGTAAACAGGATACTTGGACAGCACATACACTAGTATAGTGATACATGTCACGTATGTACATATCCCCAAATTCTCAACTTCTACAATATTGAGATGGGTACTGTGAGTATAATTACAAATGAACCATATAATTATCATAAGGATAAACTGATAAGTCAAAGAGACCTACTAGAATACCTGTTATCATCTACAGTTCTCGAAAGTAAACCTTTTCCTTCAGAAAAACAAAGGACTCCTAGCTATAGACATGACTTTCATCTAAAGTGGAAATTGTGTATATCAGCTAAATAACTCTATGAATAATCACTAATTTCCTACAATTGAGTAATTCTAAGGACCTCCTTTGATGTAATATGTACATGTTACAATTGCATAGTTAAAACGTTAGAGATAGATGGTCAATACCGCTGCTCCATGTTCCATTTATCAAAAATCTACCTTTCATTTCAAATTTATTTATTGTAAAAATAAATAAAAATATTGAATTAAGTATTAAACTGTATTATGTTTAGAGTTAACATCTTAAAACTTTGAACAGGTTTTCAGACAAATAATCAGTACGTGCATGTATATATATCTGATATGTCTCCAATCCTGTGCATGTATATATATCTGATATGTCTCCAATCCTGTGCAGGTATATATATCTGATATGTCTCCAATCCTGTGCAGGTACTGCTAAAACTCTTATAAGAATGCAGTTCAAAACTTGGTGTATATTCCTCCTTACTTTATGTATATAGGGAGTCATGTGTATTTCACTTATCCATATATAATCCTCTACATGTTTGTATACATGTCTCTATTGCTCCTAACCACATTATTGTATGTATTTTTCCTATAACCAACATGTGTGTTAAAATGCCTCCTAACTTCTATATATAACATATCATGTGTGTCTTTTCCCTAACAACACGCTGAGTAATAAATTCATACACATAATTACAAAACTGTGCTATGACTGGGCTACTTGGTATAATTTAAGTACTGAAGCCTACATGTGTATACTGTGTATATTATTAGAGGACTACATGTGAGCTCACTAAGGCCATATTGATCGTGACCCAGACTAGAATAGGTTACACACGTCTTTACAGTGCGTCTGACACACCAAGTGAACAGGCAAAACACACACATGACTAATACAAACCAGCATGTGCAAGCTGTGGCAAGTGGCATGGATATATCGTGTTTAATTAATGAATCAGACACGTCCGTCTAACATGGATGGTTAATATAAACCACCAGACATGTTGATATAGAAATTAATCAAAGTAAGAAGTTACATATGAATATAGGTTGAATAATATTTGTCATTTAACTGTGAATGCTTTTTTTAAATTTGAATAACTTTATTTATCGTGATTCATGACAAACAATAGTACAAGAATGACACTTTTTTTCATTTTTTTTTAGGATAATTATTCCTTTCATTGAACAGAATGTGTTTCCTATAAATAATGCTTTACAGTATATTAAATACCTGAGCAAGTAATCAAAATTGTATATATAAAACAAAAGTTATATATGTCTCAACTAATAAGAAGGAACAGACAGTAGCTATATATCTTGGATTTTAGGATCCAAGAAAAATATGGTGCTATAATGTAGAATATCCTTCAAGTAATGTTTTCAATTAAAATAAGCACCGACAAATCAGACGGCAAGTATCTGTGACATTGCACTTTGACCACTGGCCATCTTAGATCTTGGTATCCTATAGCTAGTTACATATCTGTGTATATATATAGTATTAAAGTTTGTTGGATATCCAACAAATACTATTTACCACCAATGCAACATCACTGTTGGGTAAGGAAGGGCAATACAATGTATTTGTGACAGGTAACTACTATGTTCTACACAATGCATTTCTAGCAAGAGTGACCTTGACCTTAGGATAACCCCTATTTTTTTAACTTTACAATTAATAGTGTATTATGTAAAATTTATGAAAATTACTATTAAAACAAAATGTTGTTGACAAAAAGACTGAATAGCCAACTGACTGATGGAGACACAGGCCCTAACCATGATCAAAATGTAAATTAATGAAGGTGAAAATACTATCAATGTCATAAGAGTGGCCCAGCCACATGGGTATCTATACATTATCACACTAAAACCATTGATCGATGACTAATTAATTTAAAGATGTACCTATACAGGTGCCAAAGTAAAGAGGTTTGACCAGATGGTCAGTCCAACCTATATATAATAAATATATATTACTGTAATGAAATGTGGAAATATAGCATCATTATTTAAAGAAATTAGGCAGATATTCCTCAGTTTTCTTCATTTTGGGAAAATTAAATTAAGGCACTCTTTTGCTAGGGAAAGCAGCCTGTTCTCAGATCACTCTCCAATTCCGTCTTTGCGTATTGCAGAGTTATCTTCTCTTGAGAACAGGTATTGATTGTTACGTCATCGGTTTGTGTGAGAAAATTACGTCATTTTCTCAAAAATTGATGACGTTACTCTCACAAACCAATGACGTAACAATCAATACCTTTTCTCAAGAGAAGACAACTCTGCAATACGCAAAGACGGAATAGACCACCATATCAAATTATTTATATTTTTTTAAAAATATTTTTACTAACCTACATGTACCTTCCAAACAAGTTACAGGAAACACAAATAATATCACAAATATCTGTTTAAATGGGTATGTTCATAATTAGCATTTAATACGAGTAAAAACTTGAGACACTGTAATCATACCAGTATACAAATGCATGTACAACAAACAAGATAGCTGTTAGAGCTAATGATGTTAATAAATGATGGTGTTCTTCACAACATTTACATTGCCTTCCTGTATTCAAAAAAAAAATACACATGTACTTTTCTTCATCAGCTATCTATATCTACTTCACTACGAATCAGATATGTGTGCACAGGTGTTTAAGCTTCTGACAGCATACAACCTTAAATGACAACAATCATGAAAGTCCCTGCAATCAGAAAGTATATGGATAAACCTTTAGTAAATACTTTTACCAAAGAAGACCACAAATATTATTAGACCCTCACAGCTTTTAGCCAGTTATCTTTTGACTAAAATCTTGTTGAGACAGCATATCAAAAAAGAGTTGGGTTATATTATTTTACTCCTCAGCTCTAAAACAGTTGATGGCTCAATCATTCTCCTAATGGTGCTTCTAATGGGCTACAAACGTTTTAGAACCATAATATTTCTGTATTTGTTCCCAAAAGTTGTTTCCATATTTTATAGAATTTTCACACTTACACTGACTTTTTTTACTGTTTATCATTTGCTTTTTGGGTCCTGTATATATCTTGCTTATTTTATGATTTCAGATTTTCTATTTTTTTTAAATGTGGTGATTTATTCTTAGCAATGGTCTAATAATGTTTGCTGGATAAATTGATTACAATAGTAAGACTGTATATATTTCTGATTTCAGCAACTGTGAGTGTTGTCATTGAAGGCGTTACATACCTCTTTTTCTTTTATACAACTGTCATATTTTTTACATAATGTTGTTTAAATCGTTTAATTTCTCTAATGATGCATCTTCCTTTAAGATTACTCTATATGTATATATAATATAATGCAAGTTTTTTTTAAAGTATAAGGGGCATTATTTTTATATACAGATTGTTATACTTAAGTAGGTATTGGCCAGGGAAGAAATGGGACAACATTCTTGAAGGCAAGCTCATAACAAACTGTTGTTTTGATAACGACGTTGGCACTTTTTCATTAGCAATGGTTTCGATTTGTATTAGAATTACGGGAAGTTCGGGATATTGCCGGAAACTCCACGTCTGTATTTATACGTATTCCATGAAATGTTTACCTAACCCGGTCATTACCAATGTGAGACATCGTACGCGTTTATTACATTAAAGAAATTCACAACAATGTCTTTTTAGGTCTTCGTGTGTTAAAAAGTAATAAATAAAACTGTTATTTCATTTTGTAAACAAAACAAGAATGAGTAAATACTACAACAACAAGAATGATGATGTCATCAACATGGAGTCCAGACGGATATTATGATCTTACCGGATAGTGAGCATTTGTGTGGTTTCCATTGCAAGTTCGACACGTAGGAATCGCCGATTCTTGAAAGAACATACTTAGGGCCGTCTGTAATAAAACAAACATATGTTGGTGTTAGTTGACAGCAATACATTCAACGGCCAATACAAAGACTAAAGGGCACAATGACCTCGTTTTAAAAAGTAAACACATGCGCCATGATACTTTACTAACCCTCGATAGCACCAAAACATTACCTGAAACTGCCACTTTGACGCCGTTAACAACTGTTTAGCTTGCTCTATATGGCAGCCTGTTGCTGAAATAAAATGGTTTATCATAACTTGTTCTTTTAAATTTTCCATATTTGTCGTATTGTGTAAAATAAACACAGCTTCCTTAGCAAGATAGATCCAATGTTGTTGTTCGATTGGGGAAGTTGAAAAGGATCAAGTTGATTGGCAGGCAAACGTCACTAACATAATTGATTTGATTGGCTGATTCGTGGAAACAAAGGCGTGGCTATGTGAAAAATGCAGCATGAAAATGTAAACAACTGCAAATTGAAGTTTTTAATGTGTATTTCTAATTTATTTGTAACTCACGATAGCTTTAAGTAAATATAATAGCTAAAGTTTTAAAAATGTACTAATTCATTATGTTTACAGCAGGTTCCCGTGACGTCATACACACGGAAGTGGACAAGTATCACAATACGCCATTTTGACAGATTGTTAAAGAAAAGCAAAATTGTGGTGTTTCTGCACTCCATCAGTAAAAGATGGGTGCCTTCACCAGTAGAAACAATGATGGAGTGGAGGAGGTCGACTATGCTTCCAACAATGCATATCGTTATCCTCCGAAAATGGGTGAGATAAACTACTGCTAGACGCGATTTAATCCCTATCACTATCAGTTAAAACATTTATCAGCCAACAAGTACCGAAACGTCTACCTTTACAGACCTATTTAGATTGTAAACGTCGTAGTCACCAATAATGGCATGACACAACGGGACTATGGACTGATTAATCAATAAGTTATTACGTTATGTCGAGCAGTATATGGAACGTTTTATAATATAAAATTCTACAATTACTCATTTTGATGACAATCATGACATTATTTCTAACTCTTATATACTGGACCTAAGTGAGCTTAGATTCTCTTTTACTCGCTGAGAGACATGCCGGTCTCAAAAAAATGTGAATTTGGTTTTGGCAATGCATAAAATCATATGAAATTTATGTAAAACAAAGATCCTTGTTTAAAATACCGTAATGAAGACATAAACATTTCTGAAATTTTATAAGACGTGTTAAAAACACTATCAAATTTCAGATTCAATGTTTATAACATGTCTAGCACATTCATCATTCATCACAGAATGTTATGAAACAACCTCTAAAAATTAATTATCAATTTAGGTAACTTAGCCTTTTATTTTTCTCATTTGTAATCTGCTACATATATTACAAGAGAAGTTCACAATGATTTGAGGAGTTTCCCATACCAACATCTATCTTGATTTTAGGCTTGTACGTCTATCTACTGCTAGAAAGGAAAATTTAGCTCCGCATGACCTAGGTATATAAATGAACTTGGATAACATGTCATTTCCTAGTGTTTTCAGTTGGGTTGCTAAAGAGATTGACGTTTATGTTAACCTCGCTATGCACAATTCTAATAGCCAATGTACAACTTCAGTATATTCAAATTGCGCATACAAATTCCAATTTTAAACCAGGGTCTTTGAATATGATTTATAAGGGGTTTAAGTTTAGGGTGAATGTAGCCTCCTTCAGGGGCCTTGTTAAACCTCCATGGTGCAAAGTTCACCTCCTTGGGGGAAACAGATGGGCATCCTCTCACCTCAAACATTTTTCCGGTGTTAGAGCCAATCATGTACATGTGTAGGTGTGTGGGATATGGATATTCTAAGTGAGAGTGTAGAATGTTGGTTAGAACTGAGGTTTTGACTCGTAATTCTGCAACTGAGGCTAGAATTTCCATGTAACCTTCATAATGATTTACTGTCCAACCTCTTTACCAAAATGTTTTTTAAAAAACAACATAGAATTAATACCACATTGTAAATACAACATTAAGATAACTAGCAAAATTTCCAAAAAATATACATTTAGACCATATTTGGGAAAGAGCAGAACAATTATGGTGTACAAAAGGTATACCTCAAATTCAAAGATCAATGCTAAACTTTGCATCAGGGATAAGCTTGTGCAATCACTGTCATGTCATGAGGTGGTGTCGCTTAAGCTTTGGTTGCAGTCACAGTCAGGTAGACGAGGGGATTCCCCAAGTCATCAATGATCATTTTATGACAGCTGGGTTAGTAGAAGGCTTGATAATATCCTTACATAAATGGTTGGCTTTGAAAAGTCCTAAAATTGATGAAATGGCCCTAAAAGCCCCTAAATTCAATTATGTTGAAAGGGTAAATTAAAATGGGCCTTAAGTGATTGATCATTAAACTATTGTTATATATTAGTTTTGGTGGTGTTGCGATGTTCTTATGAAAATGAATACAGAATATTGGCCAGTATCATTTTTTTCATGATGTGTTTAGAGACATCAAGGGGCCCTGAAGAAAACTTCAATTCAGTAAAATTCCTTAACAAACTCTGACATCACGTCAAGCCAACAATAATGCATCAACAGTGCGATGCTGTATCTCAAACATTGCATTAGATTATAGCAATGTAGTAAGTATTCCCCAGAGAATGATTAATTAAATTATTGTACCAATAACATCAGATGTTATAATTATTTTTTCTTTCATGTCTTTTCAGGTAACTATTTTGGTACTCACTTTATCATGGGTGGAGAACGGTTTGACATGAGTCAACCAGAATCATATCTGTTTGGAGAAAATTCTGACCTGAATTTTCTTGGAAGTAAACCAATACCTGTGAGTGGTTACAAGTTTTACTCTAACTTGTAGCATCCTCAAAAGTTTCACTTTGTATGTCAGGGGTGCAGGGAGAATGTGTGTATTAAGAGAATAAAACTTGAATTTTCTGGATTGGTCCTTTATTTTGGGAAACATTCATGTAAATTGATGCCAAACATTTCACTTTAATAATTGTTCCTGTCCGTTCCCCTGCTGTGAATCTTCATTTGTTCAAAAGTGAAATATTTGTAGAAAATGTTGCAGTTCAATGATTAATTTGGGATGCAAAACTGACTATACTAGGTAAATGACAGAGTATTATTGCTACTTGTAGTTTCCATACCCTCCACCCACTGGCAATGAGCCCACCAAGACCTTGAAGAGTCTTGTCAACATCAGGAAGGACTCACTCCGCTTTGTCAGGTGATTTTTTTCTATTTCAAGTTCAGAGACCTTTTGATAGGTTAGACTTGTAGGCACTTATAAATAATGGAATAAAATATGCTTTTTGTTAATATTTCACTACTTCCAGTTTGATTTATTTGTTTAACAGGACTTTTTGTGTAATTAAAGATCAAAAGATTAACTACAATGTTCTTATGCAGTATCCCATGATAGTTATATGTTCAAACTTCCATTTAGAATAAAAAGCTTAAGCAATAGGTATAACATTTTGTGTGCTGACAGAGTAGAGGAAGCTGATTCTGCCCAGCTACCAGAGGATGGAGAAACCCGAAAATCACCCGGCTGTAGGTACAACATAGAGTTCTCATTTGATTGTGACGTTCGGTGTGCTGTCACCATCTACTATTTTGCAATGGAAGAAATCACTAATGGTCAGCTCATGTAAGTATCCTTATTACCCTGTCACAAAGTGGTGTATGGTATTAAATGTTACGCTTGTTTTTGTTTGCAAATAGTATGTTCGGCTGTTTAAGTTTTTCTATCTAGGTCAGTTATGGACTAAATGCTTTATTGGACGTGAAAAGGTATAGGATCACCTGCCATGTAGGTTTTCTCCTGGTACTCCGGTTTCCTCCCACATTAAGACCCCTTGCGTGCTAACATCCGGGCCAACAAGAGAATTAATAAAAGTTAAAATCACTTGTTTCATAATTGTTGTATACGTAAGATAAATAAAGTTTATATATATAATATAGATTGCTTCATTATGTAGATATCGCCCACGGGACTCCGCAATGAACTCCGAGACATTCCACTACAAAAGAGGAGCCAACCAAGTTTTTTCTCAGCCCACCCACATCATCGACCCCAATAAGTTCTCGGATGATGAGGTACATATATACATATAGAGGTTTGAGCTCAACAACTCTCTGGGTTTTCAGTCATCAGAATTTTTTTGAGTGTCCTTCCAATGTTGGGATCGTTGTTGAAAATATAGGTTGAAAGTTATACCACAATGTGATGAAATGAAGACCTGGAGTATTCTCCTTTTTATACTGTGTTTATACACATAGAGAAGGTTGTCGGGTAAGTCACCTGATGCGGGATGACTTACATGTGATGTCTATGTTCATTGGTGGATGTGTGTCATTCTACACATCAGTAACATTTTTGACGGGACGTACATTGGTATGAGGAGCACTTGTCAGCTGTCTGTCAGCTGTCCATCATTCCACACTTTGGTTTCTGCAATATTACTTGCCAAAATAATATTCAATTTTGATGAAACTTTGTTAACAAGTATGAGATACTGAGTTCCAAGATGAGCAAAAAACCATACATACAATGTAATTAATGGAATATGGCTCTGATTGTTTGACGGTTTCCACAAGGTAATTAAATATCGTTCTATATTCATGAAATTTGTCATGTGCATGAACAACATACATAGACCAAGGCCAAATTCAAATTTGAGCAAATTTTGTGCATAATTACTTTGCATATTATGCTTTGATTGGTTGACAGTTTGTACATCTTAACTAATGAAATATGTTTTGATTATGATGAAAACTTAATCAGTATTTATATAAAGACACAGATAAAGGCTAAGTTTGGAAATGAACAAAATCTGCCCATAATTAAATCACATACTCTGATTATTAGTCAACAGTTTCCACACAATAAATTAATCATTTATGACCGATTTCTGATGAAAAGTGGTCTATATTCATATTATATCAAGACATTAGGCAGAGACTAATTTGAACATTTGACAGACGAATGTATGCTGTCCTCTTGTTACATTAGCTATGATGTTTCTATGTGTGATTTCTAGTGGCAGTTTGACCCAGTGAAGGAGACTGTTCCTGTAGTGATACACGCTGTAGTAGAAGATGATGGTTGGTATTAAACTTTCATATTCTAACAACTTTTTGTTTCTTACATTCTTTCCTATTTTTCTTTAACATTTGCATAACACATAAGTACAATATTTTGAAAAATAGAAGGCAACCTTTGAATTAGACAAAGTATGGATACCAGAAATCTATAAATATTTTGTTGATAGTTGTTATCTGTATATACCACTCATACCATGCCCACATGACATTTGTCACTATCACCAATCCTTATCTCTATAGACCACACCAACCATGTCCACACGACATTTGTCACTATCACCAATCCTTATCTCTGTTGACCACGCCAACCATGCCCACATGGAATTTGTCACTATCACCAATCCTTATTTCTGTAGACCACACCAACCATGCCCCCATGGAATTTGTCCCACCACAATCCTTATCCCTGTAGACCACATAAATCTTGTCCACATGACATTTGTCACTATCCCCAATCCTTATCTCTAGACCACACCAACCATGCCCACACGACATTTGTCACTATCACCAATCCTTATCTCTAGACTACACCAACCATGCCCACACGACATTTGTCACTATCACCAATCCTTATCTCTAGACCACACCAACCATGCCCACAAGACATTTGTCACTATCACCAATCCTTATCTCTGTTGACCACGCCAACCATGCCCACATGGAATTTGTCACTACCAACAATCCTTTTGTCTGTAGACCACACCAACCATGCCCACATGCCATTTGTCACTATCACCAATCCTTATTTCTGTAGAACACACCAACCATGCCCACATGACATTTGTCACCATCACCAATCCTTATCTCTGTAGACCACACCAACAATGCCCACATGACATTTGTCACTATCACCAATCCTTATTTCTGTAGAACTCACCAACCATGCCCACATGACATTTGTCACTATCACCAATCCTTATTTCTGTAGAACACACCAACCATGCCCACATGACATTTGTCGCTATCACCAATCCTTTTCTCTGCAGACCACACCAACCATGCCCACATGACATTTGTCGCTATCACCAATCCTTTTCTCTGCAGACCACACCAACCATGCCCACATGACATTTGTCATTATCACCAATCCTTATCTCTGTAGACCACAACAACCATGCCCACACGACAATTGTCACCATCACCAATCCTTATTTCTGTAGACCACACCAACCATGCCCACAAGACATTTGTCACTATCACCAATCCTTATCTCTGTTGACCACGCCAACCATGCCCACATGGAATTTGTCACTACCAACAATCCTTTTCCCTGTAGACCACACCAACCATGCCCACATGCCATTTGTCACTATCACCAATCCTTATTTCTGTAGAACTCACCAACCATGCCCACATGACATTTGTCATTATCACCAATCCTTTTCTCTGTAGACCACACAAACCATGCCCACATGACATTTGTCATTATCACCAATCCTTATCTCTGTAGACCACAACAACCATGCCCACACGACAATTGTCACCATCACCAATCCTTATTTCTGTAGACCACACCAACCATGGCCACACGACATTTGTCACTATCACCAATCCTTATCTCTAGACTACACCAACCATGCCCACACGACATTTGTCACTATCCCCAATCCTTATCTCTAGACCACACCAACCATGCCCACAAGACATTTGTCGCTATCACCAATCCTTTTCTCTGTAGACCACACAAACCATGCCCACATGACATTTGTCATTATCACCAATCCTTTTCTCTGTAGACCACACAAACCATGCCCACATGACATTTGTCATTATCACCAATCCTTTTCTCTGTAGACCACACAAACCATGCCCACATGACATTTGTCATTATCACCAATCCTTTTCTCTGTAGACCACACAAACCATGCCCACATGACATTTGTCATTATCACCAATCCTTTTCTCTGTAGACCACACCAACCATGCACACATGACATTTGTCATTATCACCAATCCTTTTCTCTGTAGACCACACAAACCATGCCCACATGACATTTGTCATTATCACCAATCCTTATCTCTAGACCACACCAACCATGCCCATACGACATTTGTCACTATCACCAATCCTTATCTCTATAGACCACACCAACCATGCCCACACGACATTTGTCACTATCACCAATCCTTATCTCTGTTGACCACGCCAACCATGCCCACATGGAATTTGTCACTATCACCAATCCTTATTTCTGTAGACAACACCAACCATGCCCACATGACATTTGCGGTGGTGGAGAGGAGCTCCCAATCCTTTTCTCTGTAGACCACACCAAACATGCCAACATGACATTTGTCATTATCACCAATCCTTTTCTCTGTAGACCACACCAAACATGCCAACATGACATTTGTCATTATCACCAATCCTTATCTCTAGACCACACCAACCATGCCCATACGACATTTGTCACTATCACCAATCCTTATCTCTATAGACCACACCAACCATGTCCACACGACAATTGTCACCATCACCAATCCTTATTTCTGTAGACCACACCAACCATGCCCACATGGAATTTGTCCCACCACAATCCTTATCTCTGTAGACCACATAAATCTTGTCCACATGACATTTGTCACTATCACCAATCCTTATCTCTGTAGACCACCCCAACCATGCCCACATGGAATTTGTCCCACCACCATCCTTATCTCTGTAGACCACATAAATCTTGTCCACATGACATTTGTCACTATCACCAATCCTTATTTCTGAAGACCACACCAACCAGGCCCACATGACATTTGCGGTGGTGGAGAGGAGCTCCGCTGATGGCAGTTACATGATCAAACCACTCACACCAACCATGCCCACATGACATTTGCGGTGGTGGAGAGGAGCTCCCAATCCTTTTCTCTGTAGACCACACCAACCATGCCCACATGGAATTTGTCACTATCACCAATCCTTATTTCTGTAGACCACACCAACCATGCCCACATGACATTTGCGGTGGTGGAGAGGAGCTCCGTTGATGGCAGTTACATGATCAAACCACTCAAACAGAAACAGTTCGTTGATGGACTGCCTTACCTACTCCAGGAAATCTATGGCATTGAGAACAAACAGACTGATCGCTCAAAGGTAATGCACACTGCTAATTTCTACCCAGATTTGTAGCGAAGCATCAATACTTCATTACTACTAGATCCACAGGTCACTGAGCTGATTTATGTAAAAATAAGAAAGTAAATAATAAAGTTGCTTCAATATTCTGTCAGGGCTCACGCTGTCGGTAGCCATAGTAGCCATTGGCTACTTTTATTTTTTATTGGCTACTAAAAATATGATGTGGCTACTAAATTGACTACTAAGTTTTTAAAAATGGGGGAAATCTGTATCTTTGTCCCACTCAAAAACCCAGACCAGAAAGGCATCATTCTTCCCTCAAACTATACCCGAGTGGAATAAACTCTCACCTGACATTATTTCGAGCCCCACAACGGAATTATTCAAATCAGCCCTCTACCATCACTTTTCAAACGCAAATTAGACCATCTCGTATCTTTTAAAAACAATCTCTTTCCATGTTTCACTCCTCGTCTGACATTTTATCTTCAAATTGTTGAAGTTGGTCAGTACCATTTAGAAGTAAATGAGAATGATCTGTCTACTCATGTGTGTATTGTGGCTGACACTGATTGCGTAAACATAATCAGGGCCGTCACAGATCAGCACACGCTGTAAGGCTGGGAGTTAAATAATGCTTTTCTCTAAGTTGTGAAGTCAAATATCAAGCTTCAGATGGCAACAGGTGTTATAATTCGTGTACATTAATGGACAGTGGGGTCAAGTTAATTGGATGACCCATTGACATTGATAAAACAGTCTGATAAGCCATTCACACATAGGTGGATTCGCACATGTCCATTTGGCGGCGCCGTAAGCCGATCTGATCACCCTGTTACAAACACTGCATCCAACATGTATGGGTTGATATATTTAAATAAGTGTGCATGGTCTTCATTCACCTTTTCCAGTACCGTAGAAAGCATAAATGCGTCCGATATACTTGATTAGATGGTATAAGTATCGCCTTGAAACACCATGTTGAAGTGCCGATTTTCGGCCTTTCAGATCACTTCAAACGAGATATCGTATCAATGTTCTTTCGTGGTTAAATGTTTTAGAATTTCAAGTGGTCGAGAAAAGGTATTTAGCATCATGTTTTTTAACAACAAACCGTTCAGAATGTCTTTGACAGTCGCTTATATTAGGTGCCAATCGAAAACACGGGAATGACCAGCTGCGAGACGTATGTGCTCCCGTTTTATTTCGAAGGGTTGGTCAATACCGTTATAAATTTGTCCTTTTCCTTTCAAATGTGTTCTTCTGCCATTTGAAATGTGTGATCTTTTAAAATATATTTTCTTTTTTTTACATTAAACATGAATTACAGTGAATATAAACCCAGGAAAATTCTTATCAATATCGCATCACTGAGGCTACTTTTAATTTGGATTTTTATTAGTTTTATTTTTAGCTGGAAGGCACGGAATTATTGACTATCTAAGCTCAAAGGCGAATAATATCTTCAAATTATAACTTTTCAACCTATTTTTTTCACAATTCCTGTGTCAAGAAAATGAAATAAAGTCTGATTTTTCTCTCTTTTGAAAAGAATTCAAAAACTTCTGGTGGAAATTTTCAGCATTTTGATTTAAGTCATATTTTCTTATAATTAAAGCTATACCATCTGAAAGTTTAAAAAAAATACCATATTGTGGATCAAATTATAAACATGATGTATAACAAAATTTCAGTTTAACAGAGTACTCCTTAATTTAACATCATGTTGAATAGTATTGCACTTCAAAAACATTAAATATTGAATGATTTTAATGGAGGGCCTATCCGTAACGGTTGGAGGCCGAGAAAGTATAGCCACTGTTAAAAAAAAACTACTTATTTTTTAGGTCCAGGATGAGCCCTGTCTGTAATCTAATTATACCTTCATTCTTTCTTCATTTTATTCCTTCATTGTCTATAGTAATCTTATTCCCAAACACAGTGCATTCCGGGTAAAATGTATAATTGTTTTCTTTGCTTCAAGCCAAAAAAGTGTGATATATTGTCTATGATTTTTTTTCCTAATCTAATTAGGACATGCAAAGGTTTTTTAACCTATGTCAGGTGTTATAACCTATGTCAGGTGTTATAACCTATGTCAGGTGTTTTAACCTATGTTAGGTGTTATGACCTTTGTCAGGTGTTATAACCTATGTCAGGTGTTTTAACCTATGTCAGGTGTTATAACCTATGCCAGGTGTTATGACCTATGCCAGGTGTTATGACCTATGTTAGGTGTTATAACCTATGTCAGGTGTTATAACCTATGTCAGATGTTATAACCTATGTCAGGTGTTATGACCTATGCCAGGTGTTATGACCTATGTTAGGTGTTATAACCTATGTCAGGTGTTATAACCTATGTCAGGTGTTATAACCTATGTCAGGTGTTATAACCTATGTCAGGTGTTATAACCTATGTCAGGTGTTATAACCTATGTCAGGTGTTATAACCTATGTCAGGTGTTATAACCTATGTCAGGTGTTATAACCTATGTCAGGTGTTATAACCTATGTCAGGTGTTATAACCTATGTCAGGTGTTATAACCTATGTCAGGTGTTATAACCTATGTCAGGTGTTATAACCTATGTCAGGTGTTATAACCTATGTCAGGTGTTATAACCTATGTCAGGTGTTATAACCTATGTCAGGTGTTATAACCTATGTCAGGTGTTATAACCTATGTCAGGTGTTATAACCTATGTCAGGTGTTATAACCTATGTCAGGTGTTATAACCTATGTCAGGTGTTATAACCTATGTCAGGTGTTATAACCTATGTCAGGTGTTATAACCTATGTCAGGTGTTATAACCCTATGTCAGGTGTTATAACCTATGTCAGGTGTTATAACCTATGTCAGGTGTTATAACCTATGTCAGGTGTTTTAACCTATGTCAGGTGTTATAACCTATGTCAGGTATTATGACCTATGCCAGGTGTTATGACCTATGCCAGGTGTTATAACCTATGTCAGGTGTTATAACCTATGTCAGGTGTTATATCAATTGGACATCATTCGAAAATATCAGGACTGAGTGACTGGGATTTCACATATATACTTGTAGTGTATAGAGGTAATGAGGACGGTAATGAAAGGGGACAAACTGTGGAGAGTTTATGTAATCTACAATGGAGAACATGCTGTTGTGATAAGAGACCCTTCGCTGGGTCAGTGTGTGTGTTTGATGTGGAGTGTGTTATCACCAGTGTTAGAATTGAGCTCAGACACACGTGTGTTTCCCCGCTGACATTTAAAACTAAACCTTAGGGAACTGGCTCTGTGGCCTAATTGCCAGGACAACATTAATTGATACTCTCAATGTCCCTGATAACCCCCTGCACACACAATTGTACTGAATCTCAGCCTTTACAATTCATTTCAAACCTGGTATGTGTGTGGCTTTAGGTGTAGACAATTACCTGCCATCACCTGAGCCAGTAGGCTGGGAGGCCATTGGATTTTTGTTCACTTGTGTATTTTTCCAAAATACTTCTGTTTACTTTCTTGACTGATATGTATAAAACTTAGTACGTATAATTAGCACCATAGGAACTTGCTTGTGCTTGTGAAATTCATTTGCACTTTCAATTAAGTTATACCCTTTCTCTTGATTCTGTTTATAAAGTTTGCTCTGGTGGTGTCAACTTTAATTCAAGAAATCATATCTTCCATTTATAAATACACATACAACATACATGCCAGATCTCACCGAGTAAGGCAAAATTTCACGGATTTTCACCTCTGCTAAAGTCTTGCGGCGTGCACGTGGGACACTCTTAGTCTTAGCCACTGCGTGACGGTGTCGGCTTCACCATCAAAATTTTACCGTGAAGTCAGTAGATTTAATTAGCACAATAAATGTTTTCTGTCATGTTTGTAACGTTAGTTCATTGTTAGACACTTTGAAAAATATGATGTCCGGCTACGTGTTACTTAACAAATATACTGATATAAGATCAGAGAACGGTCGGTCAGGGGAACAAATATACTGATATAAGATCAGAGAACGGTCGGTCAGGGGCATATCAAAGAAGATAGAAAATGGCTTGGATCTGAATGCTGAAATATAGAATTTAAAAGTTCAAATGCAGAACACAGTTTGCTTTTCTTTAACAGCTGATTATATCTGTCCTCTTATTAAATGCATGTTTCCAGATTATATTACAATGCTCAGAAGTTCAAATGAAAATGAACACAGACAACTGTAATCCTTATAAACTCATCAAAATCCACAGTTCAAAGTTGATGTCTCCTAACTTGAACATCAGTAGTACTGTGGCTGCTGTGAATATTGACCTGTCCAACTGAATTGCGTAAATTAAAGTAAAATCTGCTTTTGCAGTTCATCTCAATTAATTACATGTGATAATATTTTGATTTGTAAACTTTGTGCTACTAAATATATATATAACCATATTCAATATAAACAAAAAACTCTGCCAAAATCAAAACAAAGTTCTTAACTTAATGATTTTGTACTTTATTTCATTGATTGAGTTGAATAGGATAAAAAAAAAATGTTGTGAAAAACGCTGTGAATAAAACCTACCTTATTTGAGCCTCAATTCCCTTAAAACGATTGTAAAACTCACAGAATGGTCTTTAAGAATTCTGGCATATATGATACAATGTAGTCTTATCAATTACAGCCAGTGAAAATGAGTTTGAAAAGTGGTTCTTTTAGATTGTTAAATCCTGCTAATTTCAACACTTGCTTCTCTGGTTCATGTTAGTTTGAGTTAAAACCAGATCTTATATACATGTGCAAATAGTTCATCATAACGATTTTGGCAGTGACCAAAAAAGCAAAGATAAAAACTTTTTTAATTCAAATTTTATCATTTTAGCTTGACCCAGATGATGACCTTGAAGACAGTGGAGCCGAGTGTGTGATCTGTATGTCAGATATGAGGGACACACTGATCCTACCCTGTCGTCACCTGTGTCTCTGTAGTACCTGTGCCGAGTCCCTCAGATACCAGGCCAGCAGCTGTCCAATCTGCCGCTCCCCTTTCAGGGCCCTCCTCCAGATCAGGGCTATGAGGAAGAAGCAGTCTGTACCCGTACATCAGGTAGGTCATCAGCAATTGTCTTTGCTTCAAACCTCGACTCCAAACCAGGAATGTGAAAGAGAAATCAGAATATTTTCCAATTTCACAAAACATCTTCAGACCAGGTCAAAAATACAGCCCCTCTATTAGGTAGATAATCATAGTCTCTCTGATATTTGACCAATAGGTACATGATATTGAGTGCCTCATTTAATAATGATAATTTGAGGTTCATACCGCTTCATCACAACCTAGTTCGTAGGTCCTCTCAAAGTGGTTCACAAATTATTATCCGAGGTTATAGGGCCTTTGCAACCCGCGAACATCTTTCTCAACTCTCTGGGGAGCATACAGCCAGTGCTACCATTTCAGTGCTCACAGCTAGCATTCAACAATTCTAGCACTACCCAACCACATACTCATTTACAGCCGAGTAGACAGGAACAAGCGGAGTAACACGTCCTAACACTAGACTACCGTGCCTCCTGAGTTACTTTCAAGGTCACAGGAATCATAGAGATAGAAAACTTAGATTTTCTAGTCAAAGCTAGTGCAAATCTTTTTCTAAAATATTGTATTCAGGTCGAAGGTCAACTTTGAGCACTGGCTGATGTCAAATCGCTTTCAGCAACTTTTCAGTCTGTAATGCCCAGTTTCCTGATTCTTAAACATTAGTGTGAAAGTCCCGTCCCCTCATCCTTTGTTCCTAACTTTGGAATGGATGGTATTCCATTTGTATAACCATATACAATGAATATGCTTGCTTTGCATGAATGGAACTTTACAAATATGTTACAAGGAATATGTTCCAGGATCTGTTCCTACCTGTGGGGATTTAGTTTCTTGTAATTACATTGAAATGATTTAGATCCAAATCCTGCAATCGGATACAATATATGTACAGCGCTAGCTCTCAACAAGATTTAATGAAACACATACAAATATGTACAGCTCTCAACAAGATTTAATGAAACACATACAAATATGTATGTTTGACAGCTCTCAACAAAAAACACATACNAACATACTAATATGAACTGCTCTCAACCAGATTAAATGGAGCACATACTTATATGTATGTTTGACAGCTCTCAAAAAGAAACACATACAAATAAGTACAGCTCTCAACAAGATTTAATGAAACATACAAATACGTACAGCTCTGAACAAGATTTAATGAAACACATACAAATATGTATGTTAGACAGCTCTAAACAAGAAACACATACAAATATGTACAGCTCTCAACCAGATTAAATTGAGCACATACAAATATGTATGTTTTACAGCTCTAAACAAGAAACACATACAAATATGTACAGCTCTCAACAAGATTTAATGGAGCACATACAAATAGGTACAGCTCTCAACAAGATCTAATGGAGCACATACTATAATATGTACAGCTCTCAACAAGATCTAATGGAGCACATACTATAATATGTACAGCTCTGAACAAGATTTAATGAAACACATACAAATATGTATGTTTTACAGCTCTAAACAAGAAACACATACAAATATGTATGTTAGACAGCTCTAAACAAGAAACACATACAAATATGACAGCTCTCAACAAGATTAAATGAAACACATACAAATATATATGTTTGACAGCTCTAAACAAGAAACACATACAAATACGCACAGCTCTCAGCAAGATTTAATGAAACACATACAAATATGTATGTTAGACAGCTCTAAACAAGAAACACATACAAATATGTATGTTAGACAGCTCTAAACAAGAAACACATACAAATATGACAGCTCTCAACAAGATTAAATGAAACACATAAAAATATGTATGTTTGACAGCTCTCAACAAAAAACACATACAAATACATACAGCTCTCCACAAGATTTCATGAAACACATACAAATATTTATTTTAGACAGCTCTAAACAAGAAACACATACAAATACAAACAGCTCTCAACAAGATTTAATGAAACACATACAAATATGTATGTTAGACAGCTCTAAACAAGAAACACATACAAATATGTATGTTAGACAGCTCTAAACAAGAAACACATACAAATATGACAGCTCTCAACAAGATTAAATGAAACACATACAAATATTTATTTTAGACAGCTCTAAACAAGAAACACATACAAATATGTATGTTTGACAGCTCTCAACAAGAAACACATACTAATATGTACAGCTCTCAACAAGATTTAATGGAGCACATACTATAATATGTACAGCTCTCAACAAGATTTAATGAAACCCTCTGGGTCCAGGAATGGAGCCCAAAATGGGTAAATATATGTTCCTATACTACTTTTAATGGAAATATTTTGCCATGATAGCTTGAATATGCAGGTGATCATTACAGGCCCTTTGGACATCTTGTTATATATATTTTTCATCAGTCAGTACATTATGAAGCCAATGAAGGTAAGCTAAGTGATAAATTTAATCAAAGAACTTAAATACCTTTTCAGAATCAACTACAAAAATATAGAATACAATATTCACAATTGTAATCTTTCAATTTTCCCTTCGTTTTAGCAGAAAACTTTAACAGAATTTATAATACTACGACTAATGGACTGAACTTATCAAACTCTACCTGTGAAATCAGTTAATATTTTGTCATTGATCATGATATTTCATTGAAATATAGTTCCGACAACTATCAAGTATCTATTGTTATAAATATTACGTAGACACATATATAATTATATGTTATGCAAGACACTTGTCTTTTCATAACAGGTTTATAAATCATCTTTCAAGATTTTAATTTCATCCATTTTATTGTCAGTTTCAAATGTGTATTTGACTTTTTCCCACTTAAAACAGTATCTCTTCCTAGAAAACCTATTTGTATTATTACATATATGATGTTCGTCATCCAATAACAAATTCTAGGACTGCTAAACATCCTTACCTGTACAAGTTACCTGTATAACTGTACAACATGGTCAACAATGGGCAGTTGATGTGAGGTCATGTTGACACTGGATCATAATTATGAAATTAAAGGAACCAGAATTTTCGGATTGTTTTTTACAATTTTTCTTCAGGATACCAATGAAATCTTTCAGATTGGGCTGCTATGAGGCGATTGTTTGGTAGTCTTATAATGAATCAGTCTTCATACAGAACACAACTGTAGCCTTTTAATATACCTAGGTAAACAGGACTGGAGTAGGTATAAAAGATGCAGAATGTTGCCCTGACCTACTGACAGCTATATATAGCTAGCTAGAGTGGACAGTCTGTGCCTTAAGTTGTCGTATTTTATTCAGCATATACTTATTGTAGGGAATTAAGGAAACCACAGCTGTTTGTTTACATTGCCTTGGTTAGATTTGATCTAGTATATCAGGTTTAGGTCATGCCCAACATGTCTATAAAGGTCCTGTGTATAGATATTTAATCAGCAGGATATATATAGGACTGCCTGTAGATGTTGCTGTATTGTTCACTCATGCGTGACAACATTACTCACAGGACAGACAGGTATTATATTGGAAGTTTGTAGTGAGAGAATCTAGTCCTCATTATTTACCTGTACATACCAGGTAAACATTATGGATGATTGCACATTAGGTTATGTCTAATAACTTGTTACCTTGTCCTTTGGATAATTTGGTGAATGTAATTTTCATTTAAGTAAAAGGGCTTTATTTTAAAGTTCTTTTAAAAAATTGGCACTTTTCCAAAATTCATACTTAACCGTTTTGCGGGTTTGATTTGATACTTACAGTAAACATACTCACACTTTTTGAAATTAATACACAACTAGGTAAGCAGGACTACATGTACAATTAATATACAACTAGGTAATCAGGAGTACATGTACAATTAATACACACGTACAATTAATACACAACTAGGAAGCAGGACTACATGTACAATTAATGCACAACTAGGTAAGCAGGACTACACGTACAATTACTACACAACTAGGTAAGCAGGCCTACATGTACAATTAATACACAACTATGTAAGCAGGACTACATGTACAATTAATGCACAACTAGGTAAGCAGGACTACATGAACAATTAATACACAACTAGGTAAGCAGTTCTAAATGTACAATTAATACACAACTAGGAAAGCAGGACTACACGTACAATTACTACACAACTAGGTAAGCAGGCCTACATGTACAATTAATACACAAGTAGGTTAGCAGGACTACACATACAATTAATACACAACTAGGTTAGCAGGACTACACGTACAATTAATAGACAACTAGGTAAGCAGGACTACATGGACAATTAATACACAACTAGGTAAGCAGGCCTACATGTACAATTAATACACAAGTAGGTTAGCAGGACTACACATACAATTAATGCACAACTAGGTAAGCAGGACTACATGTACAAGGGGGGGACAACTAGATGGGCAGGACTCCAGGTACAATTAATACACAACTAGGTGAGCAGGACTACATGTACAATTAATATACAACTAGGTAATCAGGAGTACATGTACAATTAATACACAACTAGATAAGCAGGCCTACATGTACAATTAATACACAAGTAGGTTAGCAGGACTACACATACAATTAATGCACAACTAGGTAAGCAGGACTACACATACAATTAATGCACAACTAGGTAAGCAGGACTACACATACAATTAATACACAACTAGGTAAGCAGCACTCCACGTAAAAATAATACACAACTAGGTAAGCAGGCCTAAATGTACAATTAATACACAACTAGATAAGCAGGCCTACATGTACAATTAATACACAAGTAGGTTAGCAGGACTACACATACAATTAATACACAACTAGGTACGCAGGACTACACGTACAATTAATATACAACTAGGTAATCAGGAGTACATGTACAATTAATACACAACTATGTAAGCAGGACTACATGTACAATTAATATACAACTAGGTAATCAGGACTACATGTACAATCAATACACAACTAGGTAAGCAGGACTACACATACAATTAATACACAACTAGGTACGCAGGACTACACGTACAATTAATATACAACTAGGTAAGCAGGAGTACATGTACACTTAATACACAACTAGGTAAGCAGAACTACATGTACAATTAATACACAGCTAGGTAAGCAGGACTACATGTACGATTAATACACAACTAGATAAGCAGGACTCCAGGTACAATTAATACACAACTAGGAAAGCAGGACTACATGTACAATTAATACACAACTAGGTAAGCAGAACTACATGTACAATTAATACACAAGTAGGTTAGCAGGACTACACATACAATTAATGCACAACTAGGTAAGCAGGACTACATGTACAATTAATGCACAACTAGGTAAGCAGGACTACATGAACAATTAATACACAACTAGGTAACTAGGACTACATGTACAATTAATATACAACTAGGTAAGCAGGAGTACACATACAATTAATACACAACTAGGTTAGCAGGACTACACGTACAATTAATACACACCTAGGTAAGCAGGACTCCACGTACAATTAATACACAACTAGGAAGCAGGACTACATGTACAATTAATACACAACTAGATAAGCAGGACTCCAGGTACAATTAATACACAACTAGGTAAGCAGGAGTACATGTACAATTAATACACAACTAGGAAAGCAGGACTACACGTACAATTAATACACAACTAGATAAACAGGACTAAATGTACAATTAATACACGACTAGATAAGCAGGACTAAATGTACAATTAATACACAACTAGATAAGCAGGACTAAATGTACAATTAATACACAACTAGGTAAGCAGGAGTACATGTACAATTAATACACAACTAGATAAACAGGACTAAATGTACAATTAATACAAAACTAGATAAGCAGGACTAAATGTACAATTAATATACAACTAGATAAGCAGGACTAAATGTACAATTAATACACAACTAGGTAAGCAGGACTACACGTAGTTGTACTTTTGACTGTATTCACCTGTCTATGTTAATTAGGGTGTTACTACCAACACAAGCAAACTACATTCTGTTAATTTGTATCCAGAAATGTAAAGTGGGGTATTGTTTTTGTCCCGCCTGTCTCTCAAACTCTTTGTCATCCCTCTAATGGGGCAAAGCATCAGTCAAAGGTCAAGGTCACTTACTAATATTAGAATTTCAGTATCACATTCCTGGTCATTACTTTTGCAACCATATTTCATAACAAATTTTGATTAAACTTCACAGGTATGTTTGCCTTAAACATGCCTACAGCAAGTTTAAAATCAGCTTGATCAGTCAAAGGTCAAGGTCACGGTTACTGTAAATAAAATTTTGCTGTCACTTCTTGTGATCACTAGTACTGTAGTGGCCTTATTTCTTTACAAACTTTGATGAAACTTCCCAGGTATATTGCCTAATACAAATCTTAAACATGCTTGAATATGGATGTGATCATTTAAAGGTTAAGGTCACAGTTAATAAAATAGAATTGAACTATAACACTCCTTGTCACAACAGTAGCAGATGTTAGTGTATTTCTTTACAGATTTTGATGAAAATTCTCTGGTTTGTTTGACTATGACATAACCTTGACATTTTGGGGTGATTAATAAAAAGTCAAGGTAATTTTTAGTATGAATCTAGTTATTGTGAGGCATCCTCACTTTCTCTAGTAACAAAAGTACAAAAGTTAACTTTTAATTCTGCTGATTTCTTTTCAGACGGAAGGCAATGATGAGAACCCAGTGAGTCAGGAGGGCGTACCCCCAGGGTATGAGGCTGTTTCTCTCATTGAGGCCCTCAATGGTCCCTGTAACCAGTTCTTCCCTGCTCCAGGGGATGGTAAGCTTTCCTGAATTGTTGTACTGTAAGATTATATAACAGTTATTCCCTGCTCCATATTGTCAGTGAGCTAGGTCCATACACTTAATCATCTCATCATAGTTATATAAGTATATTGTTTACCATTCAAAGTGTCTGCCAATTAAAACTCCATTTCACAATACAACTACAATGTCAAAATGTGAAAAATAAAGTTAAGAAGTTTTTAATTTATATATTAAGGGTTCCCAGTGTCCATGAGGATGATGCAGCCTGGTGACCTTGACACCTACCATAGGGAAAAGAAACGTTCATCAAAAAGGTAGGTAGAGCTGTACCAGCATCATAATAGAACCATAAGATATAAAACTTTCAAAATATTTCAGGAGGAAATCCAGGAAACTTCTCTGGGTTTTGTTATTTTACATACATGTTAAATTATCAGCTCATTTTGTATAATTCTGTAAGATCAATGTTTTTTAATCAAATTATGATTTAGTACAAACACCTTTAAGGTGATGTGATATTGCAGTTTCTGTCATCAACTTCTTCCTTCCTTCTGTTTTCTGTCGTCCTTCAGGCAGCCATCTTGGAGAAGGAAAAGCTCAAACTTACATTAGAATAATGAAAAACTACTGATGATGGTGGACACCAAGATCCCTCTGGGATCTCTTGTCCTCAAAATATTTCCTTAGATCCACGAAGCATATAGTCTTGATAAGTACTGTTTTAACAAAGTTTGTAGGGATATAGAAAGAAGCTTTGTCCATCCATCCATCTGTTTACAGTTAAAAGAATTGTTAAGTCCATATCCGAGATAACTTAATGTAGTACATTGGATAATTCCTGCATCAATGATACAGCTAGGATTGCTCTACTGAATGCATGCTGCAAAAGCTGAATGGACTCTGCTTTATTATACTCTCATGTATTACATTGCCTTTATCAAGTTAAATCCATATCTGGGTAGCTCTAAGTGTTACATGGTTAATACATGTACTTGTATCATTGTTTCTCTAAATAATGTGTTAAATTAGATATATTTGCCATCATTTTGCAGTGTTTAAAATACTATTCATGTTTGTAGGGTGTTGCTTTATACATTTGGTTAGAAGCAATTGGTTAGAAGGAATATGGTATTGTAGTGTTCTGTACCATTCATAGTTGTAAACTACATCATTACTTGGGCATCTAATCTTGATTTGTCAAAGAATATTGATGGCATCTTCTTGTTTTGCCTTTAGCTAGCTTGGTTGAAGGGCTATCAAATTTGTTTAAAAGAATGACACTGACTCTCTTCCTTGGACACAGGGGTAAAATGTATTTAAACATTCATCTTCTAAATAACTTCAATGTTTGCAGTTGTGGTAGTTCAAATCTTGGCATTTTGGTTTAAGGAATGTGATTGCAGTCGACTCGGCCAAAGACACACAGCAGAATGTGGTGTTCCGAGCAGACGACAAGAAGATGTTGGAGGAGGAAGAACGGGAGACCCAGGACCAGCCTCAGGTTGTCATGATGACACAGTCAGAGCAGGCCAAGTCTCCGAAGAAAAAGGACCTCAATAAACCTATGTATGTTAACATTTTAAACATGAATAGAATAAATCAGTATATTAGGTAAAGATATCAAGGATATCTTGAAATATAATATTCAGGTTGGATGAAAGAATATTTTATAAATTTGTTACAAATATGTACACCATCAGTTGTTAGCTCACCTGACTCAATATGCCTAGTGAGCATATGTTGTGGCGATTTGTCCATTCATCATCTGTTTTATAAAAAAAATGTTTAATACTACAATCCAGATGAAAGCATTTTGACTAAATCTACATGTATATTTGTCTGGAGCATTCTTGGATCAAGTAAACACAAAAGGGACAGATGGGCTGGGCCCAATAAAAGAAAAAAACATTCATGGTGGTTTTTTTGAAGTCCTACACCCCCAGTATAGGGAGGGTTAAGGGATTTTAATTTACTTGGTAGGGAGCATCAAATAGCTAAGGGACTCAACATTGTAAAAAGTAAGGATGTGGCCTCTCAAAGGGAATAGGGAACAGGTAAAAGAGGAGAAATACTGATAAACCTTTGAAATTCTACTCCTGAAAAAGGGTTTAAGTGAATTTCACCTATTTTTGACTAGGGAAATGTTTGACCAAACAATCAACAATGTGAAAAGAAAGGTTGTTGCCCTTTCTTGGGGCTGAGAGATGAGGCCAAACAAGAAATATATATATATAATATGTATTGTTTTGAAGCACCGTATTTGACAATTAGCTGATATTATATTATAAATAAAGGACAAGGTGAACTATGAAGTATTACTTGGTATGTTTTGATTGTGATCTGTCACCTTCGTGGAGAAAACCAATATGTATTGATGGTTATTACACACCTACCTGGTAAGTGGACAAAGCTGACGGACTGAAATGACTCCTTCATACTTAGTTCAAACTTGTGCATAACAGCATGGAATTAGTGTTAACATTACTTGATGTGTAACAATACAGTGTTAATCTGAATTTAATTGCCGTTAGTTTTATCAGCCATTTAGTCCCTCATTGCTATTATGAACGTCTCTATAATAATAGATAGCCGAGTTAATACAGCCTTGTTCAAATTGCCTGTATTCCTGTTCATAGGTTTGATGAAAGTTCTGATGAAATGAAGGCATCGAAAGATGGTGGTGACGCCCAGGATAGAAAGGTATGTATGAGGGGGATATCTCCCAATGTTATCTGGGATAGGCAAGTTGTGACCTGGAGTAGGTATCGGGTCAGTAACTTCATTGTGATCTGAGGCAGTTACAGGTCAAGGTTATAACTTTTATTGTGACCAAAACTATGTGTAAGGGAGATAAATCCCATGGTCATCGGGGATACTTCTGAGTGAGAATTGTCACAGGATCTAAGGGTGACAACTCACATCATAACCTGGAGATATCCAACCTGACATTATTCTGGAATGTGTTCTGACCCTTAGTTTATAGAGGCCCATAAACAGAGCACTCTATGCAAAAGAAAAAAATATTCGAAAATGTTCCATTGTTATAGTTTGATTCTGAATACACTAATAATGTTGATGCCATTTCTACAAGTAAATCAGTTTTACACAATTTTATAATGATTATGCCCTTTTTGATGAAAAAGGTTTTATGCTCAAAGAAAAAAACAATGCGGGAGCAATTAGTTCATTTATGTTTCCATGTGTTTGGAACAATTAATCATATGTAAACCCAGTTTATAATTAAAAGACAGGATGTCCAAGGGAAGGGGAAGAAGATTTATGATTTTGGGGTCACTAAGTCAAAGGTCAGGGTCACATGTACAGTGGCTATAAATAGACTTATTTTTTTGAGAAAAAGATTCCAGATGATAAATTTGCCTCAAGGAGAGATAGAGGATTCTATTGATGTTTTGGTCACTAAGTCTTATTAAATACTTCGACAATGCAAGAAAAGAACAATTACATGTTTTTCTTATCAGATATGAAAAATGTATCTAGCTACATACAATATTGCTGTGCTGATGATTCGGCTATTCCACAGGGCCTACAGGTTTATGACTTGGGAGAGTCCGAAGCTGACAGTGACTATGAACTTAAGCCTATCCAGGTTAAACCGAGTCACCTGTCTGCGGAGGACCTTGCTGATGATGAGAGAGAAGACAGCTCGGAGGCTGAGCCAGAACCAGATCCTGACTATGACAATGCCATCAACAATGAAACAGAAAGTAAGACATGTACAGTGTCTATGCCTCTAGACTAGCTTTTTGTCTGTTTTTAGTGAAATGTTCATATGTGATGATCTATTCAACTTGATCTTATGTATCTTTCAATCTCAATCTTTTGGACTTGCGGTAATATCTTTGTTTAGTGTTATGTACCTGAATCTGATAATTTGTTGAACTTCGTCATACCTGAATCTGCTGTAGGTTTTCTAGCTGTCCAGGCACAAAGTGAAAGTTTTTTCAGATAGTGTTAGATCCTCACAGTCAAGAGGCTGTTGACTATTATAAGGCTGAGGCTTTTGTAAGGAGTTCTAACAATGTACTTAACCTTTCTTTCATATTTTAGGGGCGATAAGCAGTTGAATGTTACAAGGTTGAGACATTGATGTATAGTGTAATCACTGTGCTGAACCATATTTTCATATTTTAAGGACCAATATGGATTACTTAAAATTTAAAGTGGAACATTTTATGATACTGTATAACTTTCAAAGATTCAATTTAATCTCTTAATTTCAAAGCTCTTTTATTGTAATGATATATTGAACGGATATAAAACACTAGCTTCACTGTTGTCAGTGTTTTGTATGGTTTCCTATATCGTATAACTACAAACATGATGCTCAAAATAACAATTCCTTCTTAGCCACCTACAACAGGTTTAGATACATGTCTTTCTACTAAACTTAATATCACCAATAGTCAAGCTTTGCTTTTTATCAAACAATGATGTGTCGTCCGTTGTCAATCGCGCATCCATAAACAATTTATATTTTCAGCTTCTTCTCCAAAACCCCTGAACCAATTTCAATGAAATTTTGCAGAAACCTTCCATGGCCAAAGGTCAAAAAAAATTGTGAATTATATGGTCCCCAGCCCCCAGGGGCGGGCCCAAAAAGGGTCAAATTGACTAAAATTTCAAAAATCTTCTTCTCAAGATCCAGATATGGTAGAATCAAATATTTTTTATAGATGGAAGGGTCTTAAGGTGCTTTACCAAAATTGTGAATTTCATGACCCTTGGGTCTCACGTTTGCCCCTGGGGAGGGGGTAAACTTAACTATAGTTTATATAGGTAAATCGCATTTTGGACCAACATTTGTTTAATTTCCATTGGAGTTATTTCAAACTTGGTTAGCATTATCAGTATTGGGTAGCAGTTTGATGATATGCACAAAGCAGCCATGACTGACCCCCAGGAGCTGATGGGTGAGGCCAAATAGGGTTGAATTGACTAAAATTTCAAAAATCTTCTTCTCAAGATCCAGATATGGTAGAATCAAATACTCTTCATAGATGGTAGGGTCTTAAGGTGCTTTACCAAAATGCAGCTGTTTGACAGAACCACTATTTGTACATAGTACAAATACTACCCAGATCTTTCACACTTGTTTTTGCACTATTTCTTTTTCATTTGGCAACATGGATAACATCAGTTTTTACATAACTCAGCCTTTTCTGTTGGTGTATAGTGAGATGTATGATAGTTTAAAAGCCTGTGTCCCCTTGTAGGATGTATATAACTGTATAGCCATTGGCCCCTGTATAATGTGATGTGTAATATCTATATAGTCCAAGTGTATAGTTGGATAGCTGTATTACCTGACTATGTATGCTACCCTGTATACTGGGACATGTAATATGTATACTGGGATGTGAACTGGGGCATGTAATATGTATACTGGGATGTGTACTGGGGCATGTAATAAGTATACTGGGATGTGTACTGGGGCATGTAATATGTATACTGGGATGTCTACTGGGGCATGTAATATGTATACTGGGATGTCTACTGGGGCATGTAATATGTATACTGGGATGTCTACTGGGACATGTAATATGTATAATGGGATGTCTACTGGGGCATGTAATATGTATACTGGGATGTGTACTTGGGCATGTAATATGTATAATGGGATGTCTACTGGGGCATGTAATATGTATACTGGGATGTGTACTGGGGCATGTTACATGTATACTGGGATGTGTACTTGGGCATGTAATATGTATACTGGGATGTACTGGGGCATGTAATATGTATACTGGGATGTGTACTGGTGCATGTAATATGTATACTGGGACCTATGATAGCTTTCTTACCTGTATACTTGGTCATAGGATAGCTGTGTTACCTGTATACTCTGATGTATGATAGCTATGTTAACTGTATACTCTGATGTATGATAGCTGTGTTACGTGTATACTCTGATGTATGATAGCTGTGTTACGTGTATACTCTGATGTATGATAGCTATGTTACCTGTATACACTGATTATGATAGCTATGTTACCGGTATACTAGGACGTATGATAGCTGCATGTGTTACCTGTAAACGAGGACGTTTGATAGCTGTGTTACCTGTATCCTCTGATTATGATAGCTATGTTACTGGAATACTAGGACGTATGATAGCTCTGTTACCTGTATACTGGGATGTCTGATAGCTGTGTTACCTGGTACATGTAATATGTATACTGGGACCTATGATAGCTTTCTTTCCTGTATACTTGGTCATAGGATAGCTGTGCTACCTGTATACTGGGACATATGATAGCTTTCTTACCTGTATACTTGGTCATAGGATATCTGTGTTACCTGTATACTGGGATGTATGAGAGCTGTGTTACCTGTATACTGGCACATATGATAGCTGTGTTACCTGTATAATCTGATGTATGATAGCTATGTTAACTGTATACTCTGATGTATGATAGCTATGTTACCTGTATACACTGATTATGATAGCTATGTTACTGGAATACTAGGACGTATGATAGCTCTGTTACCTGTATACTGGGATGGATGATAGCTGTGTTACCTGTATCCTCTGATTATGATAGCTATGTTACTGGAATACTAGGACGTATGATAGCTGTGTAACCTGTATACTGGGATGTATGAGAGCTGTGTTACCTGTATACTGGGACGGATGATAGCTGTGTTACCTGTAAACTAGGACGTATGATAGCTGTGTTACCTATATACTGGGACGTCTGATAGTTGTGTTACCTATATACTGGGGCGTCTGATAGCTGTGTTACCTGTAAACTAGGACGTATGATAGCTGTGTTACCTGTAAACTAGGACGTATGATAGCTGTGTTACCTGTATCCTCTGATTATGATAGCTATGTTACTGGAATACTAGGACGTATGATAGCTGCATGTGTTACCTGTAAACGAGGACGTTTGATAGCTGTGTTACCTGTATAATCTGATGTATGATAGCTATGTTACCTGTATACACTGATTATGATAGCTATGTTACCTGTATACACTGATTATGATAGCTATGTTACTGGAATACTAGGACGTATGATAGCTCTGTTACCTGTATACTGGGATGGATGATAGCTGTGTTACCTGTATAATCTGATGTATGATAGCTATGTTACCTGTATACACTGATTATGATAGCTATGTTACCGGTATACTAGGACGTATGATAGCTGTGTTACCTGTATCCTCTGATTATGATAGCTATGTTACCGGTATACTAGGACGTATGATAGCTCTGTTACCTGTATACTGGGATGTCTGATAGCTGTGTTACCTGTAAACTAGGACGTATGATAGCTGTGTTACCTGTATCCTCTGATTATGATAGCTATGTTACCTGTATACTGGGATGTATGATAGCTGTGTTACCTGTATACTGGGATGTATGATAACTATATAGCCTGTTTGTTCCCTGTTTGTATTTGATTCTGCATGTTTTGGTAGTTTAGTGTATCCAACCAACCTCTATTTTACCATAACGCTGGTTTTGCTCTGTTTGCATTAATTCAGGTAGCAGGTAAGCATGTTTCTGTCAAAGTGTTTTTTGGTTTTTATTAAACATATCTGTTTCTTTTGTTTTCACATCATAAATTGTATTTATTTACGATATCTGGTACCTGAATAACGCATATTTCAGAATGGTTTGAGTTGTATTTCTGTCTGTCCTCATTGTACACCTATATGTTATGTTTATTTTCCACTGAATACTGTATATTTGTGTATATGTAAGTTTTTACTATATTTGTCCCCCAGTGTATAAGCATGTGAATGCTTTCTCATTGTTACACCTGTATAACATCTATATGTGTGTGCATGTAACGTTTTCTATGTGTTTCACTACCTTTATACAATCTCTATACACATATTTGGACATGTGAATGTTTTTTATGTGTTCCCCCATGGCCTCATAGTTAATAAGCAAATTCTTAAAGAATTCATTGTGATATTGTCAAACCAATGTTGGGGATAATTTCAAGGTATAATATCATAAACTATCTCACGACACACCACCTATAATTCTACTCGTAAACTGTCTCACGACACACCTCCTATAATTCTACTCGTAAACTGTCTCACGACACACCTCCTATAATTCTACTCATAAACTGTTTCATGACACAGCACCTATAATTCTACTCGTAAACTATCTCACGACACACCACCTATAATTCTACTCATAAATTGTTTCATGACACACCACCTATAATTCTACTCGTAAACTGTTTTATGACACACCACCTATAATTCTACTCATAAACTGTCTCACTACACACCAGCTATAATTCTACTCGTAAACTGTCTCACGACACACCTCCTATAATTCTACTCATAAACTGTTTCATGACACACCACCTATAATTCTACTAGTAAACTATATCACGACACACCACCTATAATTCTACTAGTAAACTGTCTAACCAAACACCACCTATGATTCTACTCATAAACTGTTTCATGACACACCACCTATAATTCTACTAGTAAACTATATCACGACACACCACCTATAATTCTACTAGTAAACTGTCTAACCACACTCCACCTATGATTCTACTCATAAACTGTTTCATGACACACCACCTATAATTCTACTAGTAAACTATATCACGACACACCACCTATAATTCTACTAGTAAACTGTCTAACCACACACCACCTATGATTCTACTCATAAACTGTTTCATGACACACCACCTATAATTCTACTCATAAAATGTTTCATGACACAGCACCTATAATTCTACTCGTAAACTATCTCACGACACACGACCTATAATTCTACTAGTAAACTATCTCACGACACACCACCTATAATTCTCCTCGTAAACTGTCTCACGACACACCACCTATAATTCTACTCGGGAACTGTCTCACGACACACCACCTATAATTCTACTCATAAACTGGTTTATGACACACCACCTATAATTCTACTCATAAACTATCTCACGACACACCACCTATAATTCTACTCATAAACTGTTTCATGACACCCCACCTATAATTCTACTCATAAACTGTTTCATGACACACCGCCTATAATTCTACTCATAAACTGTTTCATGACACCCCACCTATAATTCTACTCATAAACTGTTTCATGACACACCGCCTATAATTCTACTCATAAACTGTTTCATGACACCCCACCTATAATTCTACTCATAAACTGTTTCATGACACACCGCCTATAATTCTACTCATAAACTGTTTCATGACACCCCACCTATAATTCTACTCATAAACTGTTTCATGACACCCCACCTATAATTCTACTCATAAACTGTTTCATGACACAGCACCTATAATTCTACTCGTAAACTATCTCACGACACACGACCTATAATTCTACTAGTAAACTATCTCACGACACACCACCTATAATTCTCCTCGTAAACTGTCTCACGACACACCACCTATAATTCTACTCATAAATTGTTTCATGACACACCACCTATAATTCTACTCGTAAACTATCTCACGACACACCACCTATAATTCTACTAGTAAACTATCTCACGACACACCACCTATAATTCTACTAGTAAACTGTCTAACCACACACCACCTATGATTCTACTCATAAACTGTTTCATGACACATTAGTCTGTCCCATTCCCTGTAGCTGTTTACTACTGTGTGACTTAGTGAGATACAGTTATCCATTGATCTGCCCAGTTCTCTAGCTTTCTACTTCATTGTAACTTTTAATGGTGAATGCATGTTAATGAAGATGTAGAACTGTTTATTTATTTCAAAGTGGTAACATGGTAAGCAGCATCAATACATAAAGATTTTAGTGTGGATCACACTACGAACATCACAAACGTTTTGTAGGGATGAATTCTAAGAGTTGAGAAAGGGAATTGAACAATGGTTTTAATTTGGTACACAAGCCCGTTGTCAAAATTGATTTGAGAAAAACATCTTCGTGTCTTCAGTTCTTAATGTAAGAGCTAATTTAAACTAGGCTGTCTATAGGAATAAAGGTAAGACAATTTCGACTGTCCAGAGAAATGAACTCAGACTCCAATTAAACTGTATGTAGGATTAAAGGGAAGACAACTCTGACTGTTTAGAGAAATAAAGAGACTGACTAAACTGTGTATAGGAATAAAGGGAAAACAACTCTGACTAGACTGTCAAGAGAAATAAAGAGACTCAGACTAAACTGTGTATAGGAATAAAGGGAAGACAACTCGGACTGGACTGTATAGAGAAATAAAGAGACTCCGGCTAAACTGTGTAGAGGAATAAAGGGAAGACAACTCTGACGGTCTAGAGAAATAAAGAGACTCTGACTTAACTTTGAAAAGGAATAAAGGGAAGACAACTCTGACTAGACTGTCTAGAGAAATAAAGAGACTCTGACTAAACTGTGTATAGGAATAAAGGGAAGACAACTCTGACGGTCTAGAGAAATAAAGAGACTCTGACTAAACTGTGTATAGGAATAAAGGGAAGACAACTCGGACTAGTCTGTCTAGGGAAATAAAGAGACTCAGACCAAACGGTGTAGAGGAATAAAGGGAAGACAACTCTGACGGTCTAGAGAAATAAAGAGACTGACTAAACTGTCTATAAGAATTAAGGTAAGACAACTCTGACTGTCTGGCGAACAATCGATCATGGTCAGTAGTCAGCATTCTAATGTCTGCTTCTAGGAAACTCATCAAGACACTATTAATGTCAAATGAGATATTTGATTTTACACACAAGATCGATAAAATTTCACTTTTTTTTTTTTAAACTGTACACTTTGTATTTGATAAAAATAGAAATACATATCAGAATGTTTGTTAGTTTTTATAGAGTTGTGTAGGTAATATTCTGGCTGGAGATCTACCAGAGTCTGAGGATGCAGTACATTACATCAGTGTTGACATGAGTTTTTCGTTGTTCTCTAGGGAGCCAGGACGAAGAAAGTGGGGACGAGTGCACGCCACCGAGGGCTTCAAGTCAACTAGAAGTGGGTCATGCTAGGGACTATGAGGACCGGAGGGTTACTTACATCAAAGGGCTGAGTAGGAGTGCTAATGAGGTGAACGCAGACAGTGATGGGTACACCCCCCTCCATGTGACCAACAGTTTGTCTCTCCCCGTAGCCTCCAGTAGTAGTACCGAGGTATCTAGCTTTGGCAGCGCAAGCAGTTCTCAGGGACTCCTACCCTCCGATTTAGTGTTTGACGATGACAAGCTTGATCTCTGATCGATTCATGTCGAGTAGTTTATGTTCACCTACGATTCTCTGTATGGGATATAGTTTTCAGATTTTCAGTCTAGTCCAATCTCCTAAGTAGTGCAAAATTTGTGTACTGATGCATTCTACTGTTGAACTGCTGGCAATCAAGATTAATACATTGAGGTCACCTCATGAGATATGTGTTGTAGCATATTTTCTCAATGACACAAACTTTTAGTGTAAAGAAACTGCAAAACAGAAGCTGATACAGAAATACCCACCAAAAAACAAAGTTCAGTCGGTGTAAGGGACACCCAATTAAAGCACTGTGTATGCACCAAACATCCACACAAAGTTCAGTCGGTGTAAGGGACACCCAATTAAAGCACTGTGTATGCACCAAACATCCACACAAAGTTCAGTCGGTGTAAGGGACACCCAATTAAAGCACTGTGTATGCACCAAACATCCACACAAAGTTCAGTCGGTGTAAGGGACACCCAATTAAAGCACTGTGTATGCACCAAACATCCACACAAAGTTCAGTCGGTGTAAGGGACACCCAATTAAAGCACTGTGTATGCACCAAACATCCACACAAAGTTCAGTCGGTGTAAGGGACACCCAATTAAAGCACTGTGTATGCACCAAACATCCACACAAAGTTCAGTCGGTGTAAGGGACACCCAATTAAAGCACTGTGTATGCACCAAACATCCACACAAAGTTCAGTCGGTGTAAGGGACACCCAATTAAAGCACTGTGTATGCACCAAACATCCACACAAAGTTCAGTCGGTGTAAGGGACACCCAATTAAAGCACTGTGTATGCACCAAACATCCACACAAAGCCATGTTAGGAATGTATCTAGTGTTTTTGAGTCTAAAATCTACTTTTCCAGAGTCTTAAAAGCACTTCTTGCCGAATGATGTTCCAAGGTGTACAATTTTGTGATCAATGATATGACCTTTAGTTGTGACATGGTAGGGAATGTGCCTGTGATACTTATATGTTTGTTGTTATATGAAGCTAAATGAATGTGAAATGAAACTACCTATTCAGATTTTCTTTTGTAAATATGTGTTTAATTTATGATTTGTATATCTGATTAGAATCTCTGTTCTTAATAGCCTTTCAAAACACAGCACACATGTGCTAGTGTTGTGGTTTGACCATATACAGTACACATGTACTGTTGTTGTGGTTTGACCATATATAGTACACATGTACTGGTGTTGTGGTTTGACTGTATACAGTACACATGTACTGGTGTTGTGGTTTGACCATATACAGTACACATGTGCTGGTGTTGTGGTTTGACTGTATACAGTACACATGTACTGGTGTTGTGGTTTGACCATATATAGTACACGTGTACTGGTGTTGTGGTTTAACCTTATTTAGTACACATGTGCTGTCATTTGATGTAAATTTTGTATTAATGTCCATGAAATCCATAATGTGATCAGTGTTATTACGATTAGTGTTGGTCTCTGCTACTTACTCTTTGATGTTGATATATCCTATGACTTGTTGATATTTTCATTATAATTTTGAAATGCAACATGTATAAGATTTTTATTTGTGTATATAATTAGTTTAATGAAAGATTGAGAGTAGAAAAAAATCTAGCTTTTTCTGTATTAGCCTTATTTGAGTCGCTGTAAGATTTGTATATCTGTACCTCATTTATGCTCTGTGTAAAATGTCTTTTTCATTTGAAATACATGTATGCCTATTTGTATATATAGGGAGGAGCTACTGTGCAGAAGGTATACAGCCACTGTTGTCGTTAAACTGATACATTACAGTATGTGATTCTGTAATCAACACATCCGTTTATTTGTCCGTCTATACAGTTTGGTGCTGTATGTTCCTGTGTATAACAGATTACTGTTTGTGTTCCCTTGTAGAACAAACACTGACCAATGTGCAGTTGTCTGCTGGTCAGAAAACACAAAGTCAGTTGTTTTAAAATGTAGTAAGAAGGAGTGAAATACAATGTCAAAATTGTTTCATGATATAATATGCTTATAAATAAATCAGCGTTAACTCAGTTCAGAGAAAATCAAGTCCTTGATTACTTGAAAAGTGGCAGAGAGTCAAAACAGCATCCTATATTCTTATAGTCCTTTAGGAGTTATAAGTACCATTAAAATCATTATAGTTGTAAAGGTGACTAGAAGTTGATATCTCTTAGAATCTGTCATACGTCACCAGAATTTAAAATGATCTGATCATGTATACAGAACAGATGTGTTAATTGTTAGATATCTTTTGCCTCATTAACCAAACTGACAATAAAGAGATGAGGTTTGTAGTTAGGGCGGATACATTGCTGAGGTCTGTGGTCAGAGTTGTGGGTTGATCACTGCCAGTCAATCTTAGCTATTGCTGAAGTCTGTGGTCAGGGTTAGGGGGTTGATCACTGCCAGTCAATCTTAGCTATTGCTGAAGTTTGTGGTCAGGGTAAGGGGGTTGATCATTGCCAGTCAATCTTATCTAGTCACAGTGTAGTATCATTTACAGTATATATTCAGAATGTGTGGTAAGTGTTGATAAAAATAATATAAGAATAATCAAATCCTACTCAGTATAACATTTTTTCTTATGATAGTGTTCATAATGATAATATTCATTGTGAAGAATAAAAAAAAAAATCGACCTTGACATAAATTTTAGCTCACCCGGCCCGAGGACCAAGTGAGCTATTGCAATTCATTGCCATCAATTTCCGTTTTCTCTCTGTAAAGTTTTTCATGGCCAAATAAGAAATATTCCTAGGTGCTGTTGATTCATATTTGCAAAAACAAAGAGGTTGTCACCTTTCTGGACCAAAAGAAGGGGCAGAACTGAAGTTCAGTGTATCTGAGAAAATTTTCTTGCAATGAATCAGTAGTCTGATGGTTTTGATATTGATTATGTAGTATCCTTATCAACTGGTCTATTCAGCTTGAAAGAAAAACAAAATCTGCCAATAACTGGGGTCAGTAGGGTTGCTTTGCAATATATTGTGCAATATTTGACCTTTAACCCTTTCACCACTGTGGACCATAATGGACTCATCCAGATAAATTTATGGTTGTGTTCTACTAAAGTTACCTAGAGATGAAAGGGTTAGACACACAAAACACCTCTTCTGAAGAAATCAAAGACCTTATGTAGTGATACTTGTCCAACAGCTTGCTGGTATGAAGTTTGCAAAAGAAATTTCTTTTGAATCATATTCTTGGTCAAAGGTTAAAATTTGTTGACTGTTCAAAGTGTCCAAATGATAACTGTCAAGTAGCTAGCAGGCATGACATTTTACAAAGTTTGTAAAAAAAAAAGAGGATCCATATTCCAGGTCAAATCACTTGTGCCATTGTATGTGCCAATTATTCAAGGCACAGTGGTTATATTTGTTAAAACATTCATTCTCTTCTGATGGAGAACTGAAATGCCCAAGTCAATATCTCTGGAATTTAGTGCTAGGAACTGTGTGAAAAGAAAGGCTTTAAGCAGGTGAGCTTTTCAGGCCTTTTGGACCTCATGGTTAATGTTAATGCAGTCTGTTCATTTTATATACAGCAGTGCTTTGTACTTGGTCACTACTATGGATTACAATAGCATTCAAATTGTAATTGAGAATCTTAATGTGTTTGTAGTATTTGAGGTATCACATGTAGTTACATCTGAATTATTATGGAGGTCACAATCTGATCAAAGTGTGTGTGATATTCTCAAGTAGAGAGCAGTGAAATTGAAATATTAAAAAAAATTCAAACAGTATGAAAATCAAATAGATTTGTAACCTACAATTATTGGTACCTGACTGAGGTACCCAAATTTAGGCTGGCCTCATAACAACCCTTGGACAGGTTTGAGTGGGTCCATATGTCTTTCAGGTACAAGAAGTATTGAAATGAACACATGGAAATGTTTAGAATGATAAACATGTATATTATGACCATATTATTGAAACCTTGGCTGTCAGTGATTAATTATGGTAAGAGATTATGAAATCATGACACCTTTTTCAGAAATAAAATATCTGAGAAAAATAGCATTAGACTTGTTTGTACCTGTCCTTTGTCTTTATGAACTTTGTGGCTGATAGCTCAGTAGGCCACCCCATTTCCATCTACACCCTCCATTAAGATTTAGCTCACCTGACACGTATATAGTACTACCTGTGAGCTTATCCAATTGCTTCAACTTTTTCTAAAACAACTTCTGCATAATTCACCAAACTTGATATTTGGGTTTAACTTTTTGGGATGCTGGGCTATTAAACTTAACTGACAATCAGGTTCACAGGGATGAAATATGTTACAGCCTTCTTCTCAAGAACCTTTACCCACGTTTTAGGTCACAGTCTAAATGGTTTTAAAGTGATTTAAACAAATATTATTCAGACATATTCAGCCTGTAGCTTACTGTCATTAAGGAGTATCATAGTTTTCAATGTAAATGATCCTTGTGTATACTTCTTATTATGCTCCAATGTTTTAAAACATCCGAAGATATCATACAGCCGATAATTTGCCGGAGGTAAAAGTTTGCCTAATTTAAGTACCTTGGCCAACATTAAAGGCCACAGAATCAAGAAACAACGATATTGGGGGAACAACAAGGAATGATGAAATACCAAAACAACGAGCTCGGGGAAACAACAAGGAATGATGAAATACCAAAATGTGGCACCCGCCATGATGTCACGAAACGAAATGGGTTAGAACAAAACAAGACTCCGATTTTAGAGTTTTAAATATAAGCAATTAGTCGTTTGATTGTAGAGTAGGCGGCTGGTGTTTAGGAGCAATTGAAAATGACAAGGTTTTGTGGTCGAATTATTTCTGATTTGTATACCTGTGTACTTATGTTTCCGAGAGTAAGTTAGTTAGAACTAGACAATACAAACGAATCCCCTACATATCTAGCCATTAGATATGCTCCTTGGCGGAATCGAATCTTCGGGAACATTTCCATTAACAATTTCCAACTCCCTTACATATTCATTACAAAGCAGATAACCGTGGATGATAAACGTGTAATACGTCCATCATCTATACATGTTTTTAGGTCACCTGAGCTTTGCTCAAGTGACCTATTCCAATCACTTTCCGTCCGTCGTCGTCCGTCGTGCGTTAACTTTTTACATTTTCAACTTCTTCTCAAGAACCAGTGGATGGAATGTTTTCAAACTTGGTCAGAATCATCCTTGGTAGATGAGGCTACAAAATTGTAAAATTGGGATTCCTACCCCAACCCTAGGGGCCAGGGCGGGGCCCAAAAGGGAAAATTAACCAATATTTCAAAAATCTTCTTCTCCAGACTCAGAGGTATTACAGTCATTTTCTCTGCATGGATGGAAAGATCATCAGGGGCTTTATTTAAATTATAAATTTCAGGACCCCCGAGCTATCCGTTCTCCCTTGGGGAGGGGGTAAAGTTTACTATAGTTTATATAGGGAAACAACACTTTTGGGTATATTTTGACAATTTTCCGTTGGAAATTATTCTTACTTGGTGAGAATTATCCTTGAAGGAAGATGGTTTTAAATTGTAAAATTGGGATTCCTTCCCCAACTCTAGGGTCCAGGGCGGGGCCCCAAAGGGAAAATTAACCAATTTTTCAAAAATCTTCTTCCCCAGACACAGAGTCCTATACTACAGTCATTTTCTCTGTGTGGATGGAAAGATCATCAGGGGCTTTATTTAAATTGTAAATTTCAGGACCCCCGAGCTATCCGTTCTCCCTTCGCCTCGGGAAATAGTTCTGGCCTCGGGGGATCATAAACTTGCTATATCCCTCATACCCATACTTTAACTGTTAACTATAGGTTAGAGCGGGGCCCCAATATCTTAAAATTCTTATCCTTTGATGACATGACAAATTATTTTTACTGGGTCAGAATCATCTTTGGTGGAGGACGGTATTACATTGTAAACTTGGAATTCCTGCCCCATCCCCAGGGGTTAGAGCGGGGCCCCAATATCTTAAAATTCTTATCCTTTGATGACATGACAAGTATTGTATTTCACTTAGTTTACATGCTGATTTCCACATCACATCTAAACAATAAAATAAAGCTACCAGTACCTATGATATAACTCAGGTGACCGCTAAGGCCCTTGGGCCTCTTGTTAAGTGTATGTGTAGGAAGTGGGGCGCATGCGTATTGTTATTTTTGAATAGCTCGTCTTGCCATAAATATTTTTCAATATTCCTGCGTTTCCTGAATACGAACCGATTTATAATGAACCGTTATAGATGTTGCTGAACCCAAGTTCGATATGACGTCACACGACGTGACCCCTCTATAGATTCAAGTAGACCGTGTGCCGATTTAACAAAAATGTTATCTCTGATAGACGGATGGTTTCGAACGATAATCTCCTGAGTAAAATCCAATTTGAATGATACATGCGGTGTAACCGGGTGCGTGTTATAAAGTATCCTTACATCCTGACCATAATGTACTCATCATAGACAAAACCAAAACAACTTCAATGTCCGCTTTCGGCACTCAAAATTCAGTTCGGTAAATCTGTTTATTTTACAAAGTATTTTCACAAAAGGTTATAGAAATGGTACGGTAGCTGATTGAGGACATAGTAACGAGGTAAAACAAATATTTGGATGTCATGAATCGGCCACCATAAAATAGAGTGCCAGACTTCAGTTTTAAAACTGTTAAACATATAATACCCGTCTTCAGCCAAGTGATAAATACAGTCCGCACGGAGACTGGACACAATTTGTTGGAGTTCTGCTCAAAATACAAGATCACACATGAATTTGAAGTCAACGTTCAGTTTGCTTGTTTTTGCTTCCCATTAACCGTTGCCGAAAAAAACCCGTTATAGAGTTGCTAATATATGGTTTACGCTTTCACTATCGTAATCAAATGGCAATGAATAATATAACTAGGGATGTTATTTCAATGGAAATTCACGGACAGGTGTACTGATCAATAGTATATATATATATATATAATAAAAAGGGATTAAACGTCCATGTGAAGGAAGTAAATATAGAAAAAATAATATTAACGACCGTCTAAAAAGCTAGTTTTTTAGTCGGTCGTTAATCTTATTTTTTCTATGTTTACTTCCTTCACATGGACGTTTAATCCCTTTTTATTATATATATATATACGCACAACTGTCAAGGCAAATTCTTCAGTGAAACTCCGCGTAGATTTGTAGGAATTAGATATACGGACAAATAACCTGCTTATCCAAAGGGTTTTTATTTCGTCAATCGATAAAACTTGTGGTTCAAATTGACAAAAGAATGCATTGATGGAAAGTTGTGATAGCTAATTAGATCATTGGTTGGTTGTTGGTAGGTTGTATAGAGTGCCTCCATGTGTGTTGTGTATGTGTACATGTGTGTGTGTGTGTGTGTACATGTGTGTGAGTATGTGTACCTGTGGGTTGTGTATGTGTGTGTGTGTGTGTGTGTTTATGTGTGTGTGTGTGTGTGTGTGTGCGTGTGTGTGCGTGTGTGTGTGTGTGTGTGTTGGAGGCAGAGTATGTATTTGCCTCCTTGTGATAGCGCGGAACTGATGCCGACTTTATAGTGCTATCTCACTGAAATACCACGCTGAAGGTACCCAGCACAGCATTCCGCCCGGTCACATTACTGACAACAGGTGAACCAGTTGCATAATAATGTTAAATGTTGTGTTAAGGATGTACACCTCTGAGAAGTAAAAAAATTCCTGTATTAAACTTTTTATCTTATATTGATTTTTGGAAAAAGGAGTTTAAATTGAACAAATAACTTAGACATAAGTTATGTACAACATTTAATTATATATATACATATCAACAGGCTACATCATCATACAAACATATAATCAATATATATTTAAATCACACGGCTCATTAATCAACAAGTAATTGGCGTATGGGGCGAACTCAGCTTATATGTACACAAATCATTAATTTGTGAATTTCTTGTGATACCATTCTTAATCGGTTTGGGCAGATTGGTTTTTTGTAGCCGTGTGGACTTAGTCCCACGATAACTACAAAAAATACAGGCTATTGTGTGGCTGTGCGCTAATAGTGGCTACAGACTGCGCTTATAGTGGCTACAGATGACCACGTGCTGCAAACGGACGTCGGCAGTGTTGTTGTATGTGTATTGTATTACAGCCCTTATGCTGTTACGTATACTCCATCACTGCGTTCGCGTGCAAGCACATATTGGTAGTTCTGAGTGACTTGTCGCTGCAGATTGCTACTATATATGCGTTGCAAAGCCCAAGCCGGTCGAGCAATAGTATCTTAGCTTATATTATAAGTTATAAGATTAGGACTTTGCTACCCTTCCACTAATAGAGAATACGCGTCTTTGCTACGTAACCAGCTAGAGGATGGGTAGGTATAAGACCATACATTTTAATAAATTACAATGTTTTGGGGAAATTTTGTTTAAATGAGGAATAAATGAATTTAATACCGAATAAAAATATAAAAATACGGCCAAACTGAGATATATTATGTTAATGATATAGCTGAGTGCCCCAAAAAATTGATATGTAATTCTTGCAAATTCTTTTCTTCAATATTTAAGGTATTTACTGCGCTATATATATCTTTGTCGTTGCTTTCTTGTTAAATCTATATCTTTTCGATTATATGTATAAATATATACTAACAAGCTTTCGTGGCGTATAATATATATCATAAACACATCATGCACACATCTGACCTCGATTTGGTATAAGACTAAGTAAAGTATTAATAGATGGTCATAAGGATCCACATAACTATATATATATACACTAGTGTAGTATCCCTTGTTTCTATTCAATTGATGCGATATGTACACCGTACATTTAGCGCCCATCATTATGATATTGAGGGGTCTCATGACTCTGTAACATGTCTATGACCTATTACTTCCCAATGGGCTCAACACGAGTCTGGCGTACACATGATACCATGATATCCTACAATAAGCCAAAGTGGGTCATACGAAGTGAAAGTCTGTCTCCATTTCAGGGTAATCACTTGAACTATTTAGGAAGTAACTGATCATGCAGTT